ATGTCGATGCCCTATATGCAGCGATGTGTCTTTCATAGCTTCCTACTATTGGATTTTTCAGTTTGACATATTTTAATCAGACTGTGTAATATAAAACGTATATAAAAATAGATTCTGTGTTTGTTCGATTTATAAAAATTTTATTACAAATTATTTACTGAGATAATAAAAAAATGAGAAATTATTTTAATTTAATTTATATTATTTAAATATCTTATATATAATTTAATCGTGAAATAATCGAAAGTTTTAACCGCATTATTATTTATTAGGGCAATCGATCGGTATACATTAAAGTACTACAGCCGATCGTGACTCTGTCCTTTCTCTTTTTATATAATCCAGAGATGAGACTAAATACTGCCTCAGGTGCAGAATAATATTGAGCCATTGCGCGAGTCCTCGTGACATCGAGATCATTGCCGGGGCCAAGGCTCCGTGAATAAAGCCGCAGATAATATTCACAGATATGAAGCAAGCCGGAGGGTTATCTTCGACACGAGGGACTAGCGCGACCCTAAAAATCCGATCAACAAAGCGACCCTCTCGAAACGGGACATATAAATTGCGACGGCTCAGAGAGAGCATTGGAGAATCGCGCTCCTCGAAGAAGAATAATACAACAGTAAGACAGATTGTTGCCGAGAGGTAGATGCAAGAAAGAGAAAATGTTAAATACTTTTCTAAAAAATTTTTTTTTTCAGATTTTTTTCAAGAAATATAATTGATTTAATGAAAATCTAATAACTTTATTTAGAGGCGAATTTGACGAAGTTGGGAATATTTTTAAAAGCGTAAATTGCATGAGTTTTACTAATTAATTGCAGATTAATTATTATATTAGATATCAAAGATTTAGAAAAAATTGTGTCTCAAAATTCAATAAAAATAATAAGTGTTTGAGAAAATGATCGAAGATGCGCGATTCTCATTCGTGTCTGAATAAGCACAGTTACATCGAATTGCAATACGCATGTGCATGAAAGTGTATGTAATAGTGACTACAGGCATGAAATATTTATCTACATGCGATTACGCTTAGCTAAACGGCATTATGTTTTGGATGCGATGCAATATTGTAAAGTATCTTAGAACTGCGCTTAGAACACATTTAATATTACATAATACAACGCCGGTAATAGAGACACGCATATTTGCCATACAGATTGTCATTATAAGCACTACATTAAACCACAAACTATCACTTTATTCCCTAACGTCTGCTAACAAGACTGAATCCGGAAATTTAGTTTCCGTCGCGGAATATCCTCATCTATAACTTTTGCGCGACGCGCTTATTAAGATCTGAATTGTCAGTTTTATTACGTGTAACGGGTAATTTTTGTCAATCAAGAGACGTAATAAGCGAGAAATAATAATAAACATTTGTAGCATGTATATTGGCTTTGCGAAGCGCTATTTTTTTAGAAATTTCGACCCAGAGGAATATTTCTCAACAAATATAATAAAATAATCTGCACATATATTACGATCTAGCTATAAAATATACCGTTCTAAGAAATAATATGAATATATACATGCGAGATAAAAAAGCCATCATTTTGTGGAAAATACGTCTATTATTTTATCGCTCTCGTAATCAGAAAGCTTTGGACACGAATATTAGCGCGAATAACGCACGATAACTTTATATACAGAATCGCACACGCAACACTCGGAATAAAAAGGCCATCGCGTCGGCGTGAGAGACATTACGTAGAGGCCATTAAATTCGCATCGTGACGACCGTAAAACGGGCGATAAAAGAAGGAAACAGCAGAAAAAAAAAAGAATCGAATTGTACCCCGAAAGTGGGACAGTGAAACGACCAGGCACGCGCGCGCGAGAGACCCGGATCCATCCGCGCGCATCTCGCGATCGAATCTGGACATGTGACACATCTCGGAGTCGTCTCACGCGTCCGCATTGTAGTTCACTCGGGCAGCCAGCCGGCCTCACGTCAAGACACCGAGCCGCGGAACAAGAGCAGAAACAGCACTGACCTTCCTTTCTCGTACACACGTGTCCACATAAAATATTACGACGCGGTCACGTTCGCGACGATAATCGCGGACTCGCGTTTCTCGTGTGTCGCGGCCGCGACTCTCTTGTCCGTCTTCCTCTCGCTTTTACAACGCACGTCGCCATTTTTGCGCTCGTCCAATTTAATTCCGAGACAATGTCAGGCGATCTCCTCCGGTGCGTCGTTCAATAATTTAAGTCGACGGACACGTAACGTGTAATTATGTTTTCTATTTGTTTGCCGGTTGAAAATTAAGGCCGAGGTTCGATTGATCTTTCGAATCATTATATACGAGATTTTCAGACTCACCAATAAGCAGCAGTAATAAGATATTTTTTATTTTTTTTTTTTTTTTAATATCCTTCCCTTTTTGCGACATCTTAAAAAATTTCGCGCAAAGTTGGACGACAATTCCCGCGATTTCGACTAAGATTAGATTGAGGTAGACTGCATTATTCAGAACTCGGGTTGTCGGGACACTCGAGGAATATATTTATAAACGGGTTTCCACTTGCGGAGCGGGTTCTACGACGCGATTTACACATCCGGAATATTTGCCTCGTTCAAACGCATCTCTAAGATGTTGAATTGGTTTTGGAATCTGAGCAGCAGCTTGGATTGCCGTATATCGAGATACGCGAACGAATCTACGAGCGATAAGAACGTCTTTCGAGTGACGCTTGTTTATTAAAAAAAGTCTCATTAGTTTACAACATATGTAAAATATCCTCTTAAAAATTTTTCTATTTATATTATCCAGGACACAGTATATCCGAGTTTATATATTAAGCAGGAGCCCGTATAGTCGCAAATATTTGTAAATCCCCGTAGAAAACTTTATATTCGCAGAGCTCACCTTCCCATCAGCTTTAAGTTCATAATTTTGTGAAACCACACAAGACTTTTTTAACGTGGAATACATTCTCGCGCGTTAGGTGAGAAGCGTGTTTTTAGCCACGATTCTTCCCCTGGGCATCGTATATATCACGGTAATCCTTGAATTCATGAGACCTTCTCACGGGGTATTAGAATTATTCGGAAATTCGATCCCTTTAACGAGCTGCATCGACAGATGCAGCTGTTCGGAGGACTGTTACGTTGTTGTAAATTCAGCCTATCGTCTTCGATTTTTTTGCCGTTTCGTGAGTTGCTCGGTTTCTGATGTCGGGGTGGGTCCGGACGACGAGAGAATAAATTCGTGACGCCGCAGGATCCTCTTCTCGATCCTCGCGGAGGAGAGCTCTTAATGATCCTTCAGTGGAACATGCTTGTACGTAGAGATTATATAGCGCACGTTCTTCGGCAATTTGCAATACGAACGAATTTTTGAAGCGAAGCGAAACGAGCACTGCCCATTATCTGCACGATAGGCTTGTCGGCGGGTGTTATTGTACCATGAGAAAACTGCAAGGAGGAATGCTCGAGTATAAAGGAACGAGAGAAGCATTCGTTCCCGTTCAGAGCTGAGAAAGTCAGAATATTACTGACATATGTACAACAACTGTTTAATATACATGGAAACTTTTTATTTATTCCGTATTTTTTATTTATTTTTTTTCCTAAATCATTTTTTTTCCAAATAAAAAGTTTTAATATTGAAAATATATAACTATATAATAATTAATAATTTTTTAAAATATATAATAATAATTCTTTACAAATTATATAAAATATTTTAATATTAAAATTTAAATATATATATAACATTAGAGAAGAGTTTGAACGAAATGTCTAGGACTTAAAAAAATTTTTTCAATCATAAAATTTAATATTGAAAATAATTAATCATCTAATCTAACTAGAATTTAACTTATAGTTTGGATTGATACAATATTAACGGGATACTTGGATCTTTTTAAACAACTTGAATGACATGTCGCGAATTCCGTATTTTTTATTTATTTTTTTCCTAAATCATTTTTTTCCAAATAAAAAGTTTTAATATTGAAAATATATAACTATATAATAATAAATAATTTTTTAAAATATATAATAATAATTCTTTACAAATTATATAAAATATTTTAATATTAAAATTTAAATATATATATAACATTAGAGAAGAGTTTGAACGAAATGTCTAGGACTTAAAAAAATTTTTTCAATCATAAAATTTAATATTGAAAATAATTAATCATCTAATCTAGAATTTAACTTATAGTTCGGATTGATACAATATTAACGGGATACTTGGATCTTTTCAAACAACTCGAATGACATGTCGCGTATTTGGATCGCATTTTTTTTTTACAATCGCGATGGTCGATTATCGGTGAGCAGACTCGCCGGACACGAGGAGCCCTAACGGTACCGAATCTCTCGTACCCCGAAACCCAGTCGGCCGTCCTCGGCGACCCTGAGAGATACCGTTACCTACTCGGAGAGCTTCTCTCCGCGAGAAGGAGTTTCTTTCGTTTCGCACGTCGCGCACGCCGCGAATATAATTGAGAACTTAATTACATTCGTCGTTGTGTCTAGCGGGTAGGCGTAGACGGTCGATGCTCTTCCGGTTTTCACCGAGGCGCACCTGGTGATTCTCATATTAATCCGTTCGCGGAAAAATCTCCTCTCCGTCGCGCTGGAACCGAAGCGGAACGAACAGGAACTATGATCGCCTCTGTTACGCACCGTGTTATTGTTCCACATGCGATCAATTAGCATTTAGAAACCGCGCGCGTTATTTACACTTCGTTAAGATGTATATTTCTTCAATGTGATAATACGTACCGTGGCGTAATAAAGGAGCATAATCATCGCGAGCAACGTACATAAAGATCAGCTTTATTTTTAGCCTCACATAGAATTCTTAATTCGATGCAATAAAAATCACTCTTACATCTCTTGCTAATTACTTTAATTTATAGTTAATTTATCAACCATTTTCATCTCTTTATTTGATAATTTTATATATTTGTATTATATTCAATTCTGGCAACTAGTAGTACTATTAGACATCCGATTGAATCTTTGTTCACAGACGCGTCGGCCGCAGATCATCGTCAAGGACGCGCATCCTTACACGCGGAGTTGTCGTCGAAAGCTAAACGTGAACAGGCGCTACGTAGCATCCTGGCTGCCAGGAGGCGACAGATCCTGAGTCAGCGCTCTCACGAGCCATCTCGGATTTTTGTAAATCGTACTCCGCGACCCGACACCACGTCGAAAGATCCTCCGGATATTTTCGAAACCCAGGAGACCAAGCACAGTGTTTACGTTACTAACGCGCAAACGGAAGCGTCGATGAACGAGGAGACTTCGCAATCGTCGAGGAAAAGCATCGAGAAAAAAATCGATCTCGATTCTACGGAACTAGAAATCGAGCAGCAGACGCCGAAGATGTCCAAGGACGAAGCTACGTCGACGTCGACGACCGAGGACGACGAGGGCGCTTCTTCAACCTCGTCTTCCGCCAATCAAAAATGGGAGACGCGGATTCGCGCAAAAAGAACATCGTCTCGATGCCGGAGTCTCTGTACAAACATTTTCGACCGGTGGAGAGCAACATCCCGATGGAGGATATGTCGCAGTTCCTTTACTTTGGGCAGAAGCTCCAACCGGACGCGCAGAACGTCACCAGCAACAGCAACAACAACTCCGTCGAGATGACGTCGACGGTGCCAACCTCATCGCGTCGGAGATACGCCTCCAAGAGATTCAGCGCGACCCTAGCCGCGCCGATCGAGGAGATCATGAACGACGAGATGAATATCGCCTTGGAACGTCGGACGGTCGAGAAAAATCAGGTTTCACGGATCAAGAACACGTTCAGAAGCCCGGGTAGTGGACTCTACTACCGGAAGCCGAGACCCACGGCGGATGTCGTGTCCAACGTCATCTCGGGGAACGAGTCCAGCTCGGTAGCCGGACCGGATACGAGAACCGAGATGAACATGGTGGACGACAAGCTCCGTCGTGCCGATCCGTCCACCCGGAACTCGAGGGAGAGAGGAAATGACGCTACCCACGTGACCCAGGTAAGCACGACGACCCAGGTACCGCGTCAGCGCGACGACGACGACGAAACTGACGTCGCGGAGAGTGAAATCGACGTGAAACTGTCAAACGACACCGTCCCGAGTCTCGAGAAAATGACCAACGATTTTGCGAAGGACGACGACTCGAAGGGAGTCATCGCAGTGGAAGAGACTAAATCGGAGGACAAGCTGACGAACGTCGTCGAGAGAGTAGTAATCTCCACGTCGCCCAGAACGGAATCGTCGTCGCTGCGAATCGTGGTGCCGGACGGCGTCTCGAGTTTCGCGATGGAGAACGAGCGGGCTGAAGAAAATCCCGTTAAACAGCAACCGGTCTCCGCGAATCGACCGGTTGTTCGCGTGTCGATCGACGAAGACAATATCGCTCTGACGTCGACGGCATCGTCGACCTCTTCGACGACGGAGTCGTCCGCACCTGTCGTCGTCGTCGTGGACTCGAATAATCAGCAGCAGCCGGCGCAGCTGCAACACGTGTACGCTTACACGATAACGAACGTGACGCGATTGTTGCGCAACTACACCGGGCCCGGGTTAAACGGCGAGGAGAGGCGTGGTGGGGAGGAGGAAGAAGGTGGTGGTCGTCCTGCTGGTAGCGGTGCTGAGATAACGAGCGATGGACCGTCGCAGCAGCAGCAGTCCTCTCCTCTTCTGCTTCCTCGTGTCAGCGCTGCCAGTATAGAATCGGCGCGAACGCCGGCGGGACTCAGTACCGGCGCGACCGTCGAGCCAGCCGGATCGTCGTCCACTGTTGATAGCTTAGTGGGGGAACGAGCGAGGAAAGTCGTCGTCCCGCAGCAACGCGCGTCCAGTCAACGAGCGAACGACAGCGTTATCGTCTCCACGACCGCGAGACCCGCCAAGTCATCCGCCGAGGTCGGAAATAGGGGATCGGTCAGGTGGTACCAGCTCAAATCGCGCAGCAGCGAGCAAGAGGGTGCTAATGACCGGAGGTTCTTGAGGAAGAGCGCGAGCGCGGTGCTGAATCAGAGATCGACCATCAACGAGGAGCCTTCGTCCCTGGCGACGAGCAAGCGTCGCAGGATATCGGCTTCTCAGACCGGCCAGTCTTCCACGAGTAATGGTACCAGGTGGGCGAATTCCTCCAGTGATCGAGGGAAGATCGAGAGCGCCACGGTGGACGATCGTTCGCTGAACGAAACGATTGCGAGTCGCGGCGACGTCGAGGACGATGAGGTGCATCTGGCTTCTCCTCGGGAAATCGCGCGTGTCAGCAGCGAGGTGAACCAAGTGCCGAAGACGATCACCATGGGGAACTTGGACCGAAATTCCAGCGCGATCGACGAGACGATGAACGCGACCGATCCGTCAGTTGTCGTCGACGCGACGACCAAGTCCGATGTTCTCGAGGAGGATGTCGTTAGCGCGCCCAGCGTGAACGACGAGGACAGTACCGGGAGTGACGATTATCAGAGTGTCACCAAGTTGAACCAGAGCAATGACAGTGACGCGAATGTAACGACGGACAGTGTGGTCGCGACGACGGTGATGGTGACTGAGCGAATCGACGAGAAGATCTTGAAGACGACGACATCGGCGCCACCGGTTTTCCCGGTCACGCCGAGGATATTGACGGAAGAGGAGAAGACCACGATGGATCCGAAAGCTTCTGTAGAGGCCGGAACGAAAGCGCCGGAGGCGAGCTACTTGGACCCTTCGGAGATTCAAAAGAGGTATCGGGCTAAAGACGCGACGACGTCAACCACGACGACAGTTCCGCCGATTCGGAACGACACTCTTCTTCCTGTGGACGATGCTTCCAGCAGAAAACCAGAGACTCTACCTACGTCGTCGACGCCCGCGGAGAACGGAAAACGCGTGTCAGGAGAGAGATCGCCGGAAGTCCGAGCGCGTAATCTGTCGGACAAATCGAAGGATAAGGACGACGTGCTGCCGATCATGCATCTGTACAACACGTCGGACATCTTCAACGGCAGCAGACCGGTTGACAGCTTCGTTCGCAGTACGGAACGAACGCGAGTGGATCCGCAGGACGAAAAGAGTCCTACGACGACGACGGAGAAGACGAGTCCGTCGACGACGACTGTCAGCAGCACGACGGAAATTAGTGCAAGTACGACGGTCACCGTTTCAGTTCCGAAGCCTAGAGAACCTACCGCGAGTACGACTTCGGCTTCGCGGAAAGATAAACACGAGGAGAATCGCGGCTCTCAGGACACGACAATCCCTTCAACGACGTCTAGAGCTTCTTCTTTCGCACCTCCGGTCAACAGGACGAGGTACAGACCCGCCTATCATCACTCGAGCCTGCCGGAGTACAACGCCACGACGTACCATCCCGCCTCCGAGTTCAACAGGACGTTCTTCGAAGTCGGCGGACCGATCTCGGTGAGTCCGCGGGAGCCGATGAACATCACCGAGGTGATATCGAAGAGGCACGACGGCAACGCGATCGCCACTCAGGAGACGGTCGCCGTGGTCAGCTACATCCTGGCCACCCTCGTCGTTTTTCCTATTGCCGTCGGTGTCGGGCTCATTCTCAGAAGACTGATACTTAGGAATCGTAAGGTGAGTGAGTTCGTAGTTTTTGAGGTCGTCTGAGCGCGAGGGATATATTATAGATTGGAAAGTCGGCGCAGATTGCCGATTCATGCCGCTGCCTCCCGATATCTCCGTCTTCCTTTTTGCCAATAAAGTAGTCGTGGACGCGATCTAATTTCGTTGTTAATCGAGATATTTCGAAAAGACGTGATTGGTAAGAATATATTAGATTTCAAACTCTCGAAGAACAAAAATTTTATGGGAAAATTTATCAGATACGATATTTTTGGATAGAAAAAGATTGAGAGGATAATAGTATGTAATTGTCAGATGTTCACAAACTTGTAGAAATTTTGCCCTTTTTGTATTATTAAAGATGTTAAAATTCTGATATTCATTTAAAAATCTCGATACTTTAGAGTTTCATATTTCGTATAATAATATATTTCATACATAAAAATAATAATTTCTTTCGAAATTAAAGAAAAGGAAAAAATACATTGACAATGAGACGATCTTATTAAAAATAAAAAAGTAAATTTTTCCTTTTACGAGATAAATATACAAGTTGGAAAAAAATCTTGAAACAACAACATGCAATATGCTATTACAAGAAATCTAATTTTCAAGAGATTTTTTATTCTCGAACAATCGAGTCTGAAAAAAACGGAGAAAAAAATGGAAAATAATGCGGCGCAATTCCGTTTTTAATTGTTTCACGCCAAGGTACAAGTTGTCATTTATATACAGTGGTGACACTTATGTACTATTACGCGATGGTCTGGATTATCATCGCATATTAGCGTGTATCATAGTCATTACCAGCGACGTTCGTTATCCCGCGTATAATTACGCTAAAGTTTAACGATCAACATCGTCATGGCTGAATCGCTGCCGTTACGTTCATTAGTCGTCATCAACTGATCCGGAATGCGCTCCGATTAATTTTGTAATTATTCGAGTCTCAAAAGGCCGCGCTATTTTAAATTAAAATTATAATAAAGAATCGCGATTAATAGATTTAATAAATAATAAAATAGATATATACTTTCGAGATATATATATACTTTTAAATATTTATATAGGATTTATGTAGGTTTCTCGCAAATTCCACGACCGTGACTTCGCCCTGAATGAATATCAAATGCGGTCATCTAGTAATTCCTTCGCGAAGGCTAGCTCCACGATGATTCACAAAATGGTTAACGACCTCCCCTTTCCTCCCCATCGGCAATTACTACAAGTTCATTGTATGCAGAAATCTTGGCAGGATCCCTGTGATGTCTTCGAGCGAGGTATCGTCGGACGGAGCGTTATAGTAATGAGAAAATGAATGCGCGCCGCGTTGGATAATGTAAAAATTGTTCGGCTTCATTGTCTTCGATGATTCTTTTTGCGTGGAATTTTCCACGAGTAGCCGACAAGAAGATTACATCGAAGGTCGAAAATCTTGCGTATATCTCACGTCGCGTCTCGGAAAACGAGAAAATATCTGTGCCGCGTAATGTAATTACTATTGATTACGTTGATAATATATTTCCACGAATGAAGATGCTTTGTGAATTCATATACCTTAAAGCAATCCTATCTTTTCTTCATTGTACACTTTTTTACAAGAGTCATATGTATATTTCTACATATGTATATAACTGATTATTATATTCTTTAATTGTAGAAATTTTTTTCTTCAATGAATAGCATGTAATTACAAAATTTGTTAGTGTCAAAATTGACAGCGAAAAGGATGGAGCAAAGCACAAAATATCCGGAAATGACATAAGCGAAATGCTTTCACGTCCAAAATAATAAGCGAACATAAATTTGAATTTAATCCGACAGTCATGGAAATAAATCTGAATGCGATACAAAGATTCGTGGGCGAAAAAAAGGAGCGTGTAAACGAAAAAAGGGAAACGAGGAACGAGTACGAGAGTCAAATAAATAGGACCACTTTCTTGGGACTTTTCTGATGCTAAATTTCAACGTTTACTGTGTTTTTCGAAATTGAAAATTTGTTGTAGACAGACAAACCGATTCGCTTCCCTGACTATTCTTCTATCATTCTTTTTCCAAATGTCCTTCTTCGAAGCAACCTATACAAGATATAATACGCCGTACAAATGTAACGCGTAATAATAACGTGGAGTTTTATTTCGTTTCGCATTGAATGTCTTTTCGTGCGCGAGGTAACTTTGTTTCTCAGTAATAAATCAAGCTTATACAATTACACACACGCTACGCTTTCGATAATTCTCGAACGATGTCGACGAATAGCATCACAAAATCGATAATAATAATTTGGCAACATGCTCGGTTTCAATTAATTGCAACTTTAATTTCTAATCTGAACAAATCGATATTTATTCAACTATCAGAATAGATCTTTCAATTTAATATCAAAATTAAAGATACATAAATTCAAAATTTTCTGCATATTATGTATTCATTGTATATGAGATATTATTTTCATTAAATTAAAAAATTATTGAAAAAACGATGCAAGAACTATAATTTTATTATGATTTTATCAACTTTATTATTAAAACTATGACTAATGTCAACAAGTTTATTCTTTACGAACGTGAATCATTCTCATATCTATTCTGTAAATTAAAAGAAAAATTTAATCTAGACAAATATGCGTCAAAAATCAATGATAAATGATGCCATATAATACACGTAGAGTACTTTGCTATTTTTAGTTAGCAAATATATTAAAATCGTTATTCGAAGTTTATTCTGATTTTTCTGAAAGCTATAACAAATATTAGATAGGCGCGATTATTTTTGCACGTGGATGTCTCATTATCTAGTACTTTGTTATTTTTAGTTAGCAAATATTGTAAAATCATTGTGGTTAATTTGAAAGTTTGATAGTTTTCTGGAAAGCCACGACAAATATTAGATAGGCGCGGTTATTTTTGCGCGTGTATCTTATCATCGTCGTCGTAAGAAAAGTCAGCATCATATTTTCGTAGAGTCGTAATAGGTACATCTAATTTAATTGCGGTAATATTACTTGCTAAAATACGCTCGCGGACACCTTGATCTCTCTGGCCGATCTTCATTGCTATGCGACATTGCGTTTTCTAATTAAACGGGAGTGACGACCGATTCGAGGCGGCTCCGCTTTGCCTGCGTAATGCACGCACGCGCCTTGCATACGTTGCTGCATCGCACTGACGTTGATTTGCTTATGCAGGTGCTCGAAGAATCGGACACGTCATCGGAGATAAGCTGCAGGAAGGACGCTCTTAATCTCGAAAACGGCGACTTTAAGACTTCTATCGAGAAGGCGATCACGAAGCTACCGAGGATACAGCACTTGGTGAGAAATTCACGAACGCATATTTATTAGCGATAGCGATCACTTTATACAGCAGCCGGTCTGACGTCTTTAATTATCTGCGAAATCATTTCATTCATTCGAGAAATCGGCGTAAATCATTTTTTTTCACAGTTATTTTATTTACGTCATTTTTTATTTTTCATTTGCTTTTAATCTTTAATCTGAAGATTCGATCTAAATTTGTAATAATTTTTTAAGCTTTTTATCAAATTATATCATTTTTTAATCGTTTAAGTATCATATTTGCATATTACATAATACGCTTATTTCATACGTGTTTCACATAAAGGAGAGTGCTTATGTGTCAGAAATATGTACGTCAATGGAAAATCCAGAGAGTTTTCTAATACAGAGAAGAAATTGTACGATAAGCGATAGGCGCGAGGCGTTATTTTCCGACGACGTGTCGCTCTCGTGCATATCAATTAACAGCTATTCTTGGACAATTTTGAGCTGCAATTTAATGCTCGTTTCACGCGCGATTCTCTCTGTGCAGTGTCACGAAGCTGAGAAATCGCCGCCTCCGCCGTCTCAGGAATCCAGATGGGAGTTTCCTAGAGATAAGCTTAGGTTACAGACAGTTCTCGGACAAGGAAACTTCGGTCAGGTGAGGAGAGAGAGATATTATTTTCTACGGCACATTCCGGTGTGAAAATAAACAATGAAAAAAAAAAAAAATGAAAAATAAGGCTGTAATTTGCGACTGTCGGATGGATTTTATGAAATATCTGAGGTAAATTCACGCGGTAACATAATCTTCGGGACAAGTTCAGCAGTTTCTTTCTTCGGCATTTATTATATCCAATGAAGCGATTTTATTCGTCCGTCTACTCGTAGAAATTCACATTTATTTATATAATAATAGCATTTGGCCTATGCGATTTTGCACTGTATTTGCGAGACTTGATAATAGACAATTGGCATAATGTAATAGTGTAATCGAATTGATTATGCAAAACTGATTGTGTGGGAAAACTCGGGAACATATAATTTATTGTGGTGGAATTTTTTCTTAATGAACCAATATAAATAGACAGATCGGTGATTGATACAATCGTTTCCCATCGTTATACATTTTCCAATGTAATATATCGCTAATAATATTGGGCTTAATGATAAATTATAGGCCTATACTATTTCAATCTCTGATATTATTTAGATAAATGTATTTGGAGTAAAATTATTTTGAATGAATAAAATGAAATTATCTTGAAATTAGATTGAAATTGTTTAAGGGAAACAAAACTTTTCTTATTTACAATTAGTAGTAAATCTATATGTGTGTGTGTGTATTGACATATTAGGTGTGGAAAGCCGAAGCCGATGACTTGACAGGTCATCAGGGCACGACTCGACTAGTGGCGGTGAAAACCATCAAGGAAGGCGCTTCCGATCGCGAAAAGGAAGACTTGGATCGAGAACTGGAAATTATGAAACAATTAGGTAGTCATCCGAATGTCGTAACACTTTTGGGCTGCTGCACCGAGGAAGGTGAGTTTAACGTACCAAACGCATTATTAATTTAAATATATCCGAGCTATCCTACACGTGTACATCGTATGTCTCTCCCACCCTCTGTTTTCAATGAAATTACTTCCACCTCGAGTCTTGCACATTGCGCATATGGTCGTACGGTATAATTAACCGAGAGGAGAGAGAGATACGTATATTTTTCATCTATGTACACCATATGGCATTATCGAACGTGTACAATTGACGTCGCGACACTAGTGTCTTGCAATTTCCCGCGGAAACGGATCCGTCTTTATTTCGATTTGCATCGGCGCTGCACCTGCAGCTGCACACGGTGAATCTTCCTCATTACCGTCACTTATCTTCGACCTTGCGTGTCGCACGCTCGAAGCCTTGGCAGCGTAAACTTTATAAAAACTGATGGCGATTTAACTGCCGGCACTTCTCTTCGACGCAGAATACACGAATCGTCGGTGTATGGTAATTAAGTAATCAAGCCTCCGAGAGACGAGAGAGAGAGAGAGAGAGAGGGATAGAGATAGAGTCGTGTTCGTATGCGAAATCTTTCAATCGAAACGCGAGGCGCGATGCATCGAGTTTATTATTGTCAGAGTCGTCCTTGCGCTATAATCGAATTTTTACGTGGACAAGTAGTAGATTAGCACGGTGATTCAGATTTTTCACACATTTCGGATATTAGTTAACGTCAATCGGAATGAAGCGACGGCTCTCGATCACGTTCTCGCTCGATATACGTGGTTCGACACGGTGTAATATTTTATTACGTGTCTAAATTGCATAAACGTCACTTGAAAAAGTTTATTGCTTCTACGAATCGCATGTTTACGTTGAAAATCAATAATTCACGACAAAATGCTTCTCGTGCGTCTTATTGTTGAATAATTTATTTCTTTTAATTTAAATGGTTGCGCAAGAACGTAGTTTCGCGATAACAATTAAATGATCAGTATGAAAATGTTTATCTTTACCGTGATTGTTTTCGCTTAGACGACGAATTAGACAGTTCTTGCGAGAATTACGTGGGAATCGTTTTGTTTCGTACAGAAAAATTTATTCGTTTTATTGTAGCCTTGTTATCTGTGCCGTAATAGATAATTGCAGTTAATTTCCACAAGCATGACAGCTACAAATTAAACAATCGCGTAAACAATTTATATATCTTTATATCTTTCTTGCAATCCCGAATCTTCGACATTAATTCAAAATTGTCTGTCTCAAAATCTGATTTTATTCGTACAGGTGCAACAAGTGAATAAATAAACTAACATTTTTCACTCGGAAATTAATTTTCCTGTAGATGATACGACATAGTTGGCTTTTGTTGCGCATCAGCTTATGTAAAAATATCGGTGATTGTATCAATTCGCATAAAAGTATGATTGACGGACGAGTCCTGTTTCATCGTACCGTGATTGATTAAAAAGTGCCGCACATATCTCGCTTTACAATATAGGATCGAGTAATCGAAGGTTCTTGGATGCCAGCGCGCCTTCATTATTGAAAGCGAGTGCGCAACGAATTGGCAAGTAATTTTCGTACGGGTAATTGCACCAGTAAAATTACTCTTTCAGTGATCACGAAAAAATTGCGAGAGAAAATTTATTACGTTTTTTTAGAACATTCAAGAATGTTATGAAAAAGCTGTATAGAATTTTACAGAAAATAAAATAATATATATTATTATTTTTAAAGAATGTTAAATATTTTATCCGATGTCATATTTAATTCCATATTTTTATTCATAAAAAATAATCATATTTTACAATATTCAGAAATTTAAATGCGAATAATATAAGATATAATTTTTTAAAATTTTGTAATAATTTTTCTCTATTATATATATTCTCTTTTCGTTTTCTAAATTTGAAAATCGGTGAATATAAAAAATACGTATATAAAAAATCGATCGATGAAATTGATTTGACACATTTCACGCGATTTTCTCGTGACGAACTTTACAGTAGAGATATTAAAAATTTGCACGGGCAATCTCGCATGTGAGATGGATCACACAAACGGGGTAGAGCTATTATATACCTTTCCTTTCACGCTGCTTGATATCGGCATTCTCATCTTTCGTATAAATTTCCATACGCATCCCAGCGACGCGCTTCTTCGCGGTATAATACGTTTATTAAGTCGGCATCCCCGCGAGACAATCTTTCCATTCGCGGATCAAAGGAGACAAAATCAAAAAAAGCGACCGACGATTGCGATCTAGACGCAATGATCGACTCTCATTTAAGCTCGGCATCTGATATTATCTTCCGTTTCGATTAACAGAGTAACATTACTCTATTATATCCTTTTATTACCGATGCTTTACTATTAGAATTAAAATATTTTAGTAAAGTACTATATATAAAAAAAAACTTTCTTAATGCTTTTTTTTATTTTTTTAATTATTTTGTTATACCTATAATTTATACGAACGAGAATTCCTACATTTTAATAGGAATTTTAGAATTCGTTAATAAAACGTGAAATATCGAGAGGGTCAAAACACTCAACGAAGCTAATCGGCGAACGTTGTTCCCCGAAAACGGTCGTTCGAGGGAAACTAGCGAGAAATAAACTCGAAAAAAAAAAACAATTCGTGGACTGGCAATAATTCTCTGCAACGATAAAACGTTCGTGTTGTGGTGGAGCAGTAAAAGTAGAGAGATGATTGCGGCGACGAGATTTTTTCAGAGGTGTGTCTGCAACTTTCGAGCATCACCGACGCATCTCAGGGAGTTTTTGGGTCTTTTAAAGGGCCTTCTCTCCACGACTCCGTTTTCGCACAATAGAACGCGAAAAGTTCCTGGCTGCCCACACTCGCGAGACGGGTCCGCATAAAATTTACGACATTTAAATTTCGGCACCGTTATCGTTTGCGGCCACCTTCGAATTTCTTTCTCGTTCTTCCCGCGACGTTCGTCAAAGGAGAGCCAATCTTTTGACCATTTTACGACCGCCGTTTGGACGATAATAAAACTCACGTTGAACAGTCATTTCGGTTCACTAAGAGAATTATTAGCGGTTGAAGAATCGAGCAATCTGAGTTACAGATTCGACGAATTTTTACATCTCGGACCTATTGAAAAACAATCTTTTGTTTCGTACGAGAATATAAATATTTAATGAATAAATATTAAATTATACACATATCAAATATTTGCTGGTCAAATTGTGAGATTGCGTGGGTTTTCGTAAAAAAATTCTCTCAGTCTAATAAAAATGACTCACGTCTAATAAAAGTGATGGCTTTCTCTTATTTGGCTATCTTGTGTTTTCTCTTTGCCGTTTTTAATCAAGTTTTGGCTCATTTGTCTGTCTTCACAGACGCGGTAACTTATATAAGTATATGAAATAGGAGCGACATTAAGGAGCGGCATTCTTTAAAATCTTCTGCGAGTCCGAGAACGCGATGTTTTCTTTTCTTCTGGCATAAATTTTTCATGTAAAATTTGCATACGACGTTCATAAGATGAGAAAAAAATTCTAATCCAAAGGGACATCTTAATTCTCGTTCTTTGCGTCCTTTCAAGGCATCGATTAAATACTTATACCTTTACTCTCTTCTTGCCTTTAACGTTGCTTCGCACTTCATCTGCGTACTTGTACCATTACTATATGTGCGAAATATGATTTACATAAAAGCGAGAACGAGATTAACTCGCGTATATCGCCATCGTGCACTCGTATTGCTTTGCATTCGTCACGTCTATTGTATCACACGCGTGCCATATCGATCGACATAGGCGTGGATCTGTGATTTTTGCACGAAAAAGTTGCAGGATAGAACTAGCGCGAATTTAATGCGTGTATATACGCATACAATGAAGTCTCGATATGTTACACGTCGACGAAGAAGATGAGACTCGAGCCCTTTTCTTTAAAAAAATTATATTGTATTATATATAAGCAGATTATTTCTTAATTTTATTTTAATTGCAAATTTCATCAAGTAACATTTAAATATCATCGAGAATAATATTTTATTAAATAACGATAATTATATGTTAATCACAAGTAAAATTATAAATAAGTAACTTTATATAATTTGCTTTTTTAACAGTAATTTTGTATATAAAAAATATTTTAAAATTTTTCCTTAAAGAAGAAATTAAGTAGTAGGTACCTTATGCAGGAGGATGTCAGACGCGAGTCGCAGCGATCTTCTTCGTCGGATATAATTAATAGTTATTGCATCAATATTTTCATATTAGTGAACATAGTATGACATGGCAATACGATACAGCTATTTCATTACAATATTATGAAATTAAATTGCTAATAAACGGTTAATAACGCACGACTTAATACGTGCGAAATAGACGCTATAAACGTTATGTCATGTTTAATTCACTCTGAAAAACGATATTAACGTTTGAGATTAATCCGAACACGAGAAGCGTGTACTACCTGGCGAGCAAGAATTATTAGAAGATGGCGATGTTGACCTAATATGAAAGTTGTGTGATGACGCGATGCGCCGACAAAAGTGGTTCCATAAGTTACAATCAAGTTGACATTACGCGAGCGAGGACTCTTTCAAGTAAATCACTTAAATTACTTCGAATGCCCTGGATATTTCTTTCTGCCCTCACCATACCATTTTTTTTAATTATGCACTTCTTGATTTACATTTGGTAAGCAATTTAATTTTATAAAAAATTAAATAAATTCTATATAAATATAAATTCTATATTAAATAAATTCTATATAAACATTTAATTACACAATGATGCTTTTTGTATAAATTTTTAAATTTACTTCAGTAATATATATTGATCATTTAGGTAAAATTCCGAAATTTATACAAACAGCAGCATTGTGTAATTAAATAATATTTATATAGAATTTATTAATTTTTTTATAAAAATTAAATTGCTTACCAAATGCCATCGAATGTAAATCCAGAAGTACATAATTGAAAAAATTGTACAGTGAGAGAGAAGAGGGTAAGATTCAGTGTCTCATTAATGATAAAGAATTATACATATACGTTGCTGTAAAAGTTGTCACGTTCATAATTCAAACAGGTGATATAAATTATAAACATTATACGTTTATTAATATTTTTGAAAAATGTAATCTAGAGAGAAATTTCATGTTTTGTCGACGCACGATAATATTTTTCGTTTGCTGAAATGCAACAGAACGTGCTTTAAATGGTAAATTGTCATTCACAAACTGCAATTCATGTCCAAACACTTACTACAGAAAATCTTATATTAAGTACTATATATATACTCTCTGTTTTTAAAGCATTAGGTACTCGTTTACTCGCATTACTCATTTCAATTCCAGATGAATGAGATTTATTCTTTAGAAACGGGTTTTGTGACGTATATAAGATTTAGCCTTCGTTGATTGAGGGTTTACTTTATTCGAAACGCGATACGCTCTAATGAATACTGCTCCATGAATAAATATAAAGGATACAGCGCGTGATTTTTTTCTGATTACAGAGCCTCATTATCTCATACTGGAGTACGTCATGTACGGCAAGTTGCTCGCGTATTTGCGCGATCACCGTACAAGGCAGTACTTCTACAACTTCAGCGAAGACTCGGCAGCCTTGACATCCAGAGATCTCACGGTTTTTGGATATTGCGTGGCCAGAGGCATGGAATACCTCGCGTCGAAGAAGGTACAGAATATTTTTATACTATATATGTATGTACATTTGGGGTGGTTCCCATAAACATTAAAGTTCAACGAGATTTAACTGACTCTGCATGTTTCTCCAAAGATAAAATTATAAAGAAACAAGGAACCAATTAAATTTCAGTCGATCTTAACGCTATGGGAACTGCTGATGAATTTTACAGAACGTTTATACGTTATATTTACAAGAATAGAGATAAATTCTGATTTCACACATTTTTTTATGTGTTCACATGGAATAGATAATATCTTTCTGCTTTCTTTTCTGGTTTCTGGGTTCTCAGCGCACAACACGCTGTTGAGAAAAAATGCGATTAAATACGAAAAGAAACGAGTTACAATAAATCTCGACACGACATTTAGTTTCGATAAAATAAATGGACCTTCGGTTGATGTTTTCAACATAGGCGTGTATTTCTCTTTTTGTGTATTTTTTACGTAAATTTTAAGTATATTTTACTTAAATTTAAAAATTATTTTTAATTGTATTTAAAAAATTTCATCATCACAATATAATTTTCTCACATTTCTCACATTTAGAATAAAATTTTAGTGTATCATAGAAACTTATTTACGCGCGATTCTACATTGAATTTCTTTGATTGTATTAAATTTCTTTGATTTAATTTTTTTGTTTTATAATTTATAAGTTATATTTAATTTTATTGATTAATTATATCTCTCTCGGAAAATTCATATATTTTTAAAGAAATTCTTTGTTGTTAAAAATGATATCTTACATGAGAATAACACATAAAATTTCCTATTTTATCACACGAATGAATGAATAACAAATCTTGATAATGTTACGTTGTTCCCTTCGATAATGCAAGATCATTAGGACATTGATTTGTAATATCATTAATTAACTCTTTATTGTGCACGAACGGACACGTTTATGTATGAGCTAAAAATCCGCAAGGTCTCGATATAATTATCTATCAAGAAGAAAAAATTTCTCTTTTACTATACAACAATAATAAATATTACATTCTAACATTCCTTGATAACTTTACGTCGACCCTCAACCATGCGAGATCATCAACATATAATGTCAACGTGCTAATTAATTTTTCTTTATTACGTACGGCTTATTTATGGATCGAAGAAGCTCTAAGTTTCTCGGTTCAATAATAATTAATTTTCATCCTGCCGCGAGCAGAAAAAGTTGTTTCAAGATCGACCACTTGACGATTGTTTGGTGATTCGATTCTCGCGATCCCTTTGCTTTCTTTCTTTTCGATGACATGTGTGCGCTTTGTTACATTTGGATTGGAACTGAAACTGTGTTAAATAAACAAGAAGAAAAGAACCGCGATAAATTTCGACGCGACACTTCGAGAATCGATGCGCAGCATTTAAAGTGTTTAAATTTTTAGATGGAGACCCTTCCTTCGTTAATCTTTACGCGATTACGGGCCCGTAAAAGCGATATCGTGCGACCAATTAATTCTTTAGACATCACTTTGAACTCTCGCCGAGAAATAAGTTGGGATATATATTTACGGATATATAAACTTACAAAAAGAATTTTATGAAGGTACTCGAGTTTTGATGCATTCGGAGAAATTTAGAAAAAAAAATGATAATTTTGATATCTTACAATTGAAACGAAAGAAATATCTTTAAAAAAATTTTAATAGATTTAATAATACCGTAATTATACTTATATCTTATTTATAACTTATTTGCGCATCATTAACTTCATTATTCATATTTATATTTTCATATATGTAATTCGAGATCTCTTCTAAGAATGCATCGTAATTTCTTAAACCACGAACGTTTATTGCTTACGAAATCGCTACACGTATCGTATACTCGTATACTTGGCAACTTTATGATCAATTATTAATAATCTCATCCGCATTTGTGATATATGGTGAATAATTTTTGCCTTGCGTTTTTAAAAGCTTAAATTAACAGAGTTGTTGTAGTTTCAGTTGTAAACGCGATCGTAAGATTAGACGTATGTAAGAGTGCACAATGTTAGAGCGTTTCAGCAACTCATTTCGGTGTGCAATCTTATTATTTCTTTCTTATTATCGCGGAAGAAATAATTTTACATGATGCATTTACGATGAATGATGGCATTTGCGATTTCGAGGAATTCGGTAGAACATATTTAGCATAATTTTTTTACCGCGAAGAGCAATTGGCTATTTTGCTTTAAAAGAAATTCCTCTTTATATAAAAATTGATAAAAATCGTAGCATAATTTTTTTTATTTACAACATCTTGTAATAAGAGAGTGGAAGTCTTTCAAGGATATCTAATTTTCTGTAGAAGGCCACGGAGAGCAACGACTGTTCGGCAAATAGCCCGCTAATGATGTTTAATCTCAAACATTTTCGCACAATCGTAAAACTTGCACCGTAGCGTTTGTTGAAGGATCGTCCCCGCTTGGAGATTTGTGTCACTAGGCAAAGATTGCGTTTTATCTCTCGTAAAGAACAAGTTTGGAAATATTTGTTTAGTTTCTTCATCCGACTCGAGAGCAATAAACAGCCCTCGAGGATGTTTTTTCAACAATCTAGTTTTTACACGATCTGTTTAATTCGAGAATTTAGACTGGGATATTAAATTGGAATTAAAATATTAAAATAAAATATATATATGGACAAAAATTTTGTATTATCTGTATGTCGAAAATATACATAATATTTAGACTGTAGAATATATTTGCATTTTTGTAATTTAAAAAAATAATCTTGTTTTTTTTCATATTTTCAATTTTTATGCACATGAGTTATTGACATTATATGTATTAATAAATTTTAATTTTTCTCCAGATAATTCCTATTAAAAAAATAATAAAGTTACTTAAATGATGCATTTAATACACACACACATATTTTTGTTTATATGTAGATAATTTATAAATTATATCTTCTTCTTGGTAATATAATACTCAATAAACTGCAACTCTTACAAATATATTTAGGAATGAGCAGCTGCACAGTAAACAGAAATTAACATAATGTTAATGGAATGTTTATCATGATATACCATAAGCACAACGATGTTTTCCGGTATTCTATCAATGTTTTGCGTATACAGTCGAAACGAAAGTTGTGTATTCAACCGATATTAATTTATTTCGCTCAACCGTGCATCGTCAGTTAAAACGAAAGATCTGAATGCGTGAATAAAATAAATATTTATTTTTAAATTCTCGTTTAGAACAACTCATCGGTTTTCGTATAACAAAGAGGAAGAGAGAAATTTGCATGGAATCTGCGAAATCTACGCGTATTCTAAGGATGTCATTTTAAGAAGAATATATCTGAGTAACAGCGATTAGAGGAATAAAGAGCCAAACTTCTCTCGTAAGCGCTCGATCAGATGTCAAATTAGTAGTTTCCGTTGTATAATAGCTTCTAGAAAACAAAAATTAGTCTCTCGGGTTTTAATAGACAATTACACACAGATGCGCGAACTAAATGATAGTGCGCGCACCAGCTGCGGATGTGATGTGCGTGGATGTATTCTAGATGCGCCTCTGCATTCAAATTGAATGCGGCAGGCGCAGCTGATGCAGCCCCGATGTTTCGTAACATCGCGTTTGCATCATTCAGTCGTTGTAATAATTATTATTTAGATCTTCGCGTAGCTCCTTCGTTGACTTGCTGTTTAGAGAATTTCGTCCGTGCACGGGAGAGATAATAGTTAATTAAAATATAATTAATAATGATGATGGTTGTGCACAATCATGGCACAAAATGTACAAATACTACAATATACGATTAAATTACGAAGCACCCGAACGATTTTGCATCTTGAATTATTTCTTATATTCAACGACTAAGCAAACGCAGATGTGTCTCGCAGCTGTTTGACATACGAGACCACCTGTCAATGAAATTTATATTCTCGTTTGTTTATTCTTCTCAGAAATTCTGATTGATTTTTAGGTAGTATTTGCATACATGTGTACATCGACGGAGTGACATCGCTAGATTTATGATTTATTTATTAGGTTCATCAACGAGAATACCTGGCTTCGTGTCGCTGAAATAATATTTGCAGACACTGCTAGTTTCTTTTACGAATCCTTGTTTCGTCGCGCACGAGCTCGGACTCAAGGCTGAGCTTTTTCTTCAAACGACTCGTCGTGTCGAAGTATCGAGTACTCGTAATATCGCGCTGTAATTTCACGTCAGACTTTAAGTAATCGCGATCCCGTAATGGAACACGCATCTCTCGAGCTTCGCAGTCGTTTATCGGCAACTTTGTTCTTTCTGTTGTACAGATCATCCATCGCGACCTCGCCGCCCGAAATGTCCTCGTGGATCACAACAAGCTGTGCAAGATCGCCGACTTCGGCATGTCGAGGTTCGCCAACGAGGACGGCGAGGTGATCGAGACCAGACACGGGAGGAACGCATTGCCGATTCGATGGATGGCTCCCGAATCCTTGATCTACTCCCTTTTCACGACGAAGACCGACGTCTGGAGCTTCGGGATTCTGATGTGGGAGATCGTCACTCTAGGTATAACTAGTCTGTTTGATTTTCGAGTACGGTAGCTTGTTGCCGGAATAAATATTATTCATATATTATAGACGTTCGAGAGTCTGTTTTGTTGTCTTTCATTGTTGTTTGATATGCAAATAAGGATACACCTTCGCGAACATGTTTATGCTAATGCCGTGTATGCAAAATGTTTCAAAACAGGTGCTAAGCACAATATAGCCGAGACATTTTTAATAATTATAGAATTGTCTTTTCATCATTCCACTTATTAAATATTATTGTGCATTGAAAAAAAATTTATTGAATTCGAATAAATATTTATTTCAATGCTGCTTAATAAATCATTAATATGAAACTAATCATATCGATTTGAAAAATATTTATTTGTTTCAAATAAATGATTGATTAGACAGTATTGAAATAAATATTAATTTAATAATTTTTTTCAGTGTATATATTTATTTGACTTTCTATAATTGACACATTAAAAAACGTGTGTGATATAATATTATTACAAAATATTATTGTACATTTTTACATTTTAATTGCGCAATCTTTTATTGATATGGCAATTAAGAATTTGACATGTGCAATAATATCATGTATTATCTATAGACCACTTTGTATCTTGTTGGAGCACTGTACGCCTAATCGATGAACCGATACGGTAACTTCCTATCGCGGATATTATCCACTATCGTGCCAATATCCCGGCGTAATGATCTCACCATCTTGCACTCTCTCTTCAGGTTCAACACCGTACCCGGATATGACGGCGCGGGAAGTCATGCGGAACGTGCACAACGGTTATCGTCTGGAGAGGCCTTCGCACTGTCGAAGCGAGCTCTTCAGGGTGATATCCCGATGTTGGCACGCCGATCCTGACCGCAGGCCGGAATTCCAGACCCTACGCAGGGATCTCGCTCAGCTACTGGAGGACAACATGAATGGACACTACGTGGACCTCGAGAGTTTCGCTTCCGAGTGCACTGACTGAGAGAAAAGAGGAAGAAGAGGAAGAGAGCGGAAAAAACCGGACACGTCGGATTATTTTAAACCGCATTGGGAGATCAGAAGATAGATCAGAAGATTTGTTTGACCAAAGTCAATCTTCGAAAGCCACTTTCCTTTGTGGGAAATAGAATAAAACTGAGATTATTTTTAGATAAAAAATCGAATTTTCGAGAAATATGAAATGTCTTACATTTAATTGTTTTTGACTTTTAAAATTTGCCAAAATATTTTATATGAAATGTATTCGTATATTCGACACATGAAATAAGCGAAATACGTATGGAAAAAATTTTCTACTTGCCAGTTGAGGAATGAGGATAAAATATCAGTTAAATTGAAATGATTCGATATACGTGTAAGAATGACATTCCGTCCACAAATTTCGTCCAATGTGTTTTGCACGATCCTCGATGTAAAATATGATTACGCGATATGCGGTATATTTTGTATTTAGACACGAATCTTTCTCGTTAGATGCTTCTACGATATGTTGAAGCATATGTATAATTAATTATGCGATTTTTCTCCGCTGAAGCACATGCAGGACGCAGAACGCAAAACAATGTAACACGCGTGATGCTGTGATAAATGACGAAAATTAAAAAAAAATATATAAGAGATACTATAAAGCGCAACGGGAATTTATAAAGACCGATAAAGTGTGTAAGTATTTTATTTAGTATAGTATTGCATAAGTAGTACCCTTAATTAGTTACACGACGCGCCATTTGTCAGTTCTTCGACATATTTGCATCTTCTTAATTTATGAATGAAATGTGTTTTATTGAACGGAAATTAGTGCATACATATATATATATATATATATATTCGCACGAACTTGGAAGATTATGTTATTGCGTAATATTCAATATAAATTATTTTTCAAACTTATCATAGAGAAAAGAATCATAAAGAAAAGAATTGTAATGTTTTTTGTAAAATAAGCATATATTACTTTTTATATAAGTTTGCCTTGATACTTATTTATTATTTTGAATCATAATTACTCATTTAAATTGCAGAATTTTAGCAGAAGAATTTAGTCTTTAAACTTAATTCTCCTTATTACATTTTGAAAATACAACGAGATTCTGCGTCGTAACATTTGTATATATTGTATTCCTCGCGCTATTATATATAAATACAAGCATTATATATTCGCCGGAAATCAAAAAGGATGTCGAATCGCATCATACCGTTGTAACATTGTAACAATAATTATCACTATTAATCGTTGTTGAAGGTATATATATCTTATGTTTCCAATCGCGCCCGGCGCGTTTATTCTTAATCATTCTAGTCTTTCGCGACGCGTTCTGGGGCGACGATTGGTTATTGATTATATCGCACGCCATTATTTTTATTCTCCGCTTCGATGAACGGTGCGAATTCGCTCAAAAAATTGCGATATCAGCGATATATTAAAAAAATTATATCATAGCCACACTTTCGAGAACCGATTAAAGCCCCACCACTGTCAGTTGATTATTTTATTAGGTATTTTTATCTTACTGTCTCTTTACTGCGATGTCGTTTCTACTCTTTGAAATGACTCGTCTGTCGTTATAACTCGAAACCATCGAGTATATTGCATTTCAGGCGTTATTCTCGCGAAAAAATAATTGCGACCGACAACTCTGTATGTAGACTCGATTGTATTAAGAATTTTTGTCAGTAAACGTTGTGAAAAAAATTTTAATTGTGTACATATTTCTGACTAAGTCAAATTTGTATGAGTATAAGCGTATAACGTATGTCGATGCGGTGTGATCTTTTAAAACATTATAAAGGCATAATATAAATCATCATGCATGCATATAATACTTTCTGATGACTGATAGCCTTGGAAATTCGCGAAAAATGATGGCGTAAATTATGACGAAATTACTATCGTGCCTTGCGCACATGCACGTTAATTATCTCAGTGTAAAAGATTCGCGAGCATTCTCTACAATGTAGAATGTAATCTTGTTTGTTAATCTCACAACTTGAAACACAACTGTCGCAAGCCACATATTCATATCTATTTTTACTAAAAACGAAATAATCTTTCTGATTGTCACAAAGAGAGAAAGATGCTATATATACACTATATACATATATATTTATTATAATTTAATAGACATTTAGTATTTTTTCAAAGTAATAAATATTTTAGTAATAATTCAACAACTTATTCAATACTTACTGCTTCTTCTGAAATACAAAATATGTGTATGTTTTATATATAAGTGAGTAAATTTTATAATGTGAATAATACAAGAGTTCTCAAAAAAAGTGTTATAATATGGAAACGTTGGGATAAAAGAAAAGATCTCAGGATTTTCTCTCAGTTATCTCGGATTCGGCTTGGACGCGCGAGAAAAGCGCTTTTTTCTTTTTCAATTAAAAGATTGGCTATGCGCAGTTGCTTTCCGTCCTCGTAATTTATGAAAACGTGTATCCACGACATCACAGATTTACTGCAATGAGAATATGGATTTATACGCGCGGCGAACGAGATAAAGGAGCGATATGCAAATACGTTCGTTGCATTTTATCAAAGTCTGCAAACTAAAAAGCAATGGACATTTACAGATGCCACTACACAACACTAAGGAAGAATCAAGGTAAAAAGGAATAAAATTCCCGATCGGAATACTTATTGAAATGGCAATCCCGATAAAAAGATTTAATAAAATTAATTGACATTTTGTCATAATAACTTAATTATACGAATATGATGGAAGTGATGCATTAGCGTTAAAAAAAGAGATTTAAACTCGCGAGGATTAGCCGGAAAATTTGGTTTTGCTTCAGAAATAGCAAACCCTTTGTAAGTCAGAGGTGCCTGATCTCCCCATCTTCCATTACAGTTACGCTAAACGAAACCAAAATCAAGGATAAATTACGAAGATTCCTCTTGTTTTTTGCTAAATCCTGCAAATATATGCAAAAAGCTACTGTTTTCTTAAGTTGATACATTAATTAGATGTATTAATTAATACGATGCAGGACATGCCAAGTTATTATATAAATATAAATTTATTATTGGTTTTGCAAAAACAATTTTTTAAACACATTGTGTTAATAATTGTATTAATAACATTTAAACAAATATTAGATTTTCGTCTTCATATAATAATTAGTGAACATGCTTGACTTGCATTGACTGTAATAAAAAGAATATATAAACTTAATTCAATTTCTATAAATAAAATACATAAGCATGACAAAATAAATAAATAACACAGTACATTTTTAATTTATTTAATACATATATAAGTTCCGATTATATAACATTTGATTAATATAAATCATATTATCATTGATTTTATTAACTCAATTGTTTACGCTAATCCTATTTTGACAGAAAGAATCTTTGCTGAATAAAAATAATCTTCCAAAATAAGAAAGTTTTTAACATTTGCATCTATTATTGTAATATATGTGATTATAATATTTTTTTCTAATTGTTTTCTAAACTGTGAAATTATCGCGGCATTAGATTATTACACTATACATATAATCGTCAAAATTAAAAAACACGTTAGGCAGTTTTAATATCTGTGTATCAATATTTACATTTTTAGAACGAATCATACATCTTCCCGCGACCTTTCCTTTTCCTATTACCAATATTTCTTCACATATATATTTTTCGTTAACATAATTCTTCCTTTGTAAATTACAGTAGTGCACGATCTACAGAGCATAGATATCGTAACAGATATGTCAGATAGCGAGGAAAGGTAATGAGATTATGTTTATGAGATTATCAATCAATTATACCATCTCCGTCGTGCATTTAAATCGGCTGATTAAATTTAAAAATTGTCAACTTAAAACTGATCAATTTTATCTACTTTTAACTAAAATATCTGTACTTTGCTGTTGGAACTTCTTCAATTTAATCCGTCGATTAAAATAATCGGAGATGGTGAAATTGGTTCATATCACATCGAAAAATAATAAGGCAACATATTTGTGATAATTTTTATCAAATCCATCGAATATAGAAAAAAAATATAATTGAATACCAAAAAAATGTACATAGCGATGACATAGTAAAATCAGGTACAACGAATAGAATCGTGATTTCAAATATTTAGGACGTCTTTATCACAAATATATTATAATATTTGAGTTAACTTAAATTTAGCTAATAATATATATATAAAAATGTACATAATAATTTAGTAGTTATAAAGTATAAATATATATACAAAGTAGGAAAAAAAGATTACATATTTCGAGATATATTATTGATCAAAATAAGAAAACAAGGTCTAATTAACTTGAGTTCTACAATTAATATCCTTGAAGATATTGGCTATCTTTCTATTTGTACTTATTGTTTTTTTATAATATAAATTTGCGTGCTATTATATTTAGGATATTTATAATTAATAATTTATGACAATCTTTAATAAGTATGAACAAATGTACAATTTAATTAATAAGATGTAGATATTCGTATTTGGATAATTTTTTTATGTTTTTACGAATATTGAAAATTTAAATTTAAATAAAAAGAGAAAGTTTAAATAGATAATAAGATCTTATTAATATTATTATAATTTTGATTAAAAATTAATAATTACACATTGTACACATTATTCAGCAAGCAAACATTACAATATTAATTATTTCAGCAATTTGTATTTTTTAGTTCAAACTGCTTAATAAATAATAAATGGATGTGGTATTATTTGACAAACGACATGGAAAATGCAATATGCAATATTTGTGATAACTTTTATAAATTATATCACATTAAATATATGATATTGCATACATTGAGTTCACATCGGAATTTTTGTAATCCCTTGAGAGAGGAATATCCCTATTCTATAACAGAAAATGGTGTAAAATGTGATCGTTGCTATTTGACTTGTTTGTTATCTTTGACGCCAACTCCTTGTATACAATATCACATAGAAGAAAAGCATAAACTTAACAAAGATATAGCTAATGAACTCAAAAATTGGGTAAATCAGCAACTTGATATAATTGAGAAATGTGAGACTTGCGAACAATTTGAAAAATTGGATATTTTCAATTTAATGGTACATTTATTCGAAGTTCATGATGTCACTGTACCTCCAAAATTTATACCAAAAGGGTAAGAAGAATTTCCGATAGATTAATTATATTGTTTTTTATCATTTATACGTACATGTATGTACATATGAATAGAATTGTTTATAATATATATAAGAAAATAAAATTCAAATTTTTAGAATGTGTTTATCACATATATTTATATTCACGTCAATTTATATCTTAGTTAATATTACATTGAAATATACGTTCGGCCAGGTTTGCTCTGTTTTATTTCTTGTAATCGGTAATTTGTAATAATTAATGAAATTAAGTATTTAATTTAGTATAAATTGGGAATAAGTATGAAATTAGATAACCGGACAAGAATTGTTGTATTTGAAATATATTTATATATGATGAATTTATATGAGACTATTTTAGTTTACAACGAGAAATGTTTATATAATAAAAGCGTTGAATTAATATAAATAGTTTGTATTCAATAATTATGCATTATGCACATAATTTAAGTAAGACTTTATAACACTGACTAATTCATAATATTGTACTGTTAATTATACCAGCACATTATCACCAAGATTATACAATCTTTTTCATCGTGATAGGAACACCGCAGATATTCCAACGTCTAGCAGCAATCAGCTGCCAACTTGTAACACTTTGAGAACTTACGTTGATAATTTTTGTTCCGATTTACATTCTGATAGCGCAGTGGAGTCTATTGAAGAAGGTAATAGAACTAATCTTAAGCGTAATTATTAACACTGCTTTTTCGATATATAATAAAGCGTTATAACTCAAACTTATAAATATATTGAGTATGTTGCGAACTCATAATTTTTTAAATTATTTACATATCATGCATCGACAGAGCGAAATATTTATTTTTTAAATAATTATTAAATATACAAGTTTATTAATATTTCGACCGTCAAAACGTAATGTTGGCAATAATTTGTACTGGCCAGTTAGGTCGAAATATTAATAACTTGTATGTTTTTACTCATCACTGGCGACTTCATTAAATTTATCGATATGTTTTAAATAATTTTTCAAATTTTTTTTTAGAATTATTTATTTATTGTACTTAATAGTTATTTTACACATAAAACATTTTACATATTTTTATAAACGAGAATTTATTTTGTTATTGATTAATTCAGTAATTGTTATCGTTATATACTTCTGTACAAATTATCAAATATTTTAGATGTTACAGGCAATCTTCCTGATATTGCACCATCAAGCAGCTTACTTTCTGCTGATACTGCTGAAGATCTGCCAAATGTCCAGGCTAGGTAACACCAGTTTATGAGATTATGGGCCGATTATATCATCTTTTTCGTGCATTTTAATCGGTTGATTAAATTTAAAAATTGCCAACTTAAAACTGATCAACTTTATCTACATTTAAAATAATCTGTGTTTTGCCGTTTGAAATTCTTAAATTGAATCGGTCGATTAAAATAATCGAAGATGGTGAATTGGCCTATATATCACATTGAGAAATAATAAGGCAACATATTTGTGATAATTTTTTTTAAATCCATAAAATATAGATAAATTATAATTGAAAATCTTGAAAAGGTACATAATGGTCACTTAGTAAAATGATGTACAACGAATAAAATCATGATTTCAAATATTTAGGACGATTTTATCACAAATATATTATAATATTTAAGTTAACTTTTAAATATAGTCATAAAGTTAAGTATAAATATATATGCAAGGTGCGAGAAAAAAGTCACATATTTGAGATAATATTATTGATCAAAACAAGAAAACAAAGTCTAATTAACATGAGTTCTACATTTAATATTTTTGAAGATATTGGCTATCTTTCTATATGTACTTATTTTTTTTTATAATATAAATTTGCGTGCTATTATATTTAGTATATTTATAATTGATAATTTATGACAATCTTTAATAAATATGAAAAAATGTACAATTTAATTAATAAAATGAAGATATTCGTATTTGGATAATTTTTTATATTTTTACGAATATTGAAAATTTAAATTTAAATGAAGAAAAGAAAATTTAAATAGATAATAAGATCTTATTAATAATTATTGGTCGAGAGGAATCAAGTGGAGATTGTGGTTTTAAAAATTAAAAGAGCTGACTTAATAAGTATTCTTATTCTTATTAATAATACTATAGTTTTGATTGGGAAATTAATAATTATACATTGTACACATTATTAGCAAACAAACGTTACAATATTAATTATTCCAGCAATTTGTATTTTTAGTTGGATGTGGTATTATTTGAGAACCGATATGAAGAATGCAAAATGCAATATTTGTAATCATACTTATAAATTACATTACATTAAACTATGATATTGCATACAGTGCGTTCACATCGGCAGTTTTGTAATCTTTCGAAAAAGGAATATCCTTATTCTATAACAGAAAATGGTGTAACTTGTGATCGTTGCACTGCGACTTGTATGCTATCTTTGGATACAACTGGTTATACACAACGTCACATAGAAAAGAAGCATAAACTTAACAAAGTTTTAGCTAATAAACTCAAAATCTGGGTAAATAAGCAACTTGATATAATTAAGAAATGTGAGGATTGCGAACAATTTGGGAAATTGGATATTTTTAATTTAATGGTACATTTATTCGAGGTCCATAATGTCACTGTACCTCCAAAATTTATACCAAAAGGGTAAGAAGAATTTCCGATAGATTAATTATATTGTTTTTTATCATTTATACGTACATGTATGTACATATGGATAGAATTGTTTATAATATATATAAGAAAATAAAGTTCAAATTTTTAGAATGTGTATATCACATATATTTATATTTACGTCAATTTATATCTTAGTTAGTTAATATTACATTGAAATATACGTTTGGCCAGGTTTGCTCTGTTTTATTTCTTGTAAACGGTAATTTGTAATAATTAATGAAATTAAATATTTAATTTAGTATAAATTGGGAATAAGTATGAAATTAAATAACCGGACAAGAATTGTTGTATTTGAAATATATTTATATATGATGATTTTATATGAGAGTATTTTAAGTTTACAACGAGAAATGTTTATATAATAAAAGCGTTGAATTAATATAAATAGTTTGTATTCAATAATTATGCATTATGCACATAATTCAAGTAAGATACTTGATAACACTGACTAATTCATAATATTGTACTGTTAATTATTCCAGCACATTATCACCAAGATTATACAATCTTTTTCATCGTGATAGGAACACCGCAGATATTCCAACGTCTAGCAGCAATCAGCTGCCAACTTGTAACACTTTGAGAACTGACGTTGATAATTTATGTTCCGATTTAAATCCTGATAGCGCAGTGGAGTCTACTGAAGAAGGTAATAGGAATAATCTTAAGCGTAATTATTAACATTGCTTTTTCGATATAACATAAAGCGTTATAACTCAAACTTATAAATATATTGAGTATGTTGCGAACTCATAATTTTTTTAATTATTTACATATCATGCATCGGCAGAGCGAAATTTTTATTCTTTAAATAATTATTAAATATACAAGTTTATTAATATTTCGACCGTCAAAACGTAATGTTGGCAATAATTTGTACTGGCCAGTTAGGTCGAAATATTAATAATTTGTATGTTTTTACTCATCACTGGCGACTTCATTAAATTTATCGATATGTTTTAAATACTTTTTAAAATATTTTTTTTAAAATTATTTATTATTTGTACTTGATAGTTATTTTATACACAAAATGTTTTATATACTTATATAAACAAAATTTATATTGGTATTGATTAACTCAGTAATTGTTATTGTTATAATTATGTGACAATAATCAAATATTTCAATTGCTAATGTTCTTGAAGATATTGCACCCGCTGATAGTGACTAAATTGATTCGATTTTTAACAGCGAAGTAAATCAGTTATTTGAATGTAGTGGAGAAAAGAGTCTTTTAATGTAATCTAATAATTATATATTTACATTGTTTTTTTAATATAACATAAAGCGAAATAGTACGAAATTATAATGACTATTTTGCGAACATAATGTATGCTAATTAACCACTTATCAGGCAACCGTTTTAAATTATTTATATTTATAATATTTTTGCTTTTGTTATAAGACATTGTCCATTATAAAACAGATTTATTAGTGATTCTGTAAAATTAGTACTTTAAAAGTATTGTTAACAAAGATATTTTATTTAAGCAAATATAATATTTTTGTGTTTGTTTTCAACGCGGCGCTTAATACGTGCTTGTTTTTAAATTATTTATAATAAAGATAATGTATTATATAATTTTTATTTTACATGATCATTCGGTTTAATAAATTATTTGAAATACATGGTACTATTTTTTTCATTTTTTTAACATAATATAATCGATAATAGTAACAAATTTCTATAAGATTATATATGTAAAACTAGCGAAAATTTAAATTGCACTAACTTTTAAATGAGTTAATGAATTAAATAAGTGCCAAATTTTTTAACATAGTTTTAATATTAAAATAAAAATAATGTATATATATTTTTATAAATTTTGTACCATTTTTAGATGTCTGTCATAAATCCTTAATTAGAGATTCCCTTTTTTTTAAATTTTATTTTATATATAACATCAAAATTATATATTGTTTATTGCATCAATTAATTAAAGACATTTTATAAAACAAATAATATATTTTATTAATACGGAAAATTCTATTTTGAAGAGTTATTCTTTATTTTGCAATAAATAGAGATGATAAAGAGGATTCTTGAAAGAAGAAAACAATTCAAAAATAATGGTTTAAAGAATAGTAGATTTCTTCTTGTTTTTTTGCTAAATTTTGCAAATATATGCTAAAAGCTACTGTTTTCTTAAGTTGATACATTAATTAGATGTATTAATTAATACGATGCAGGATTAATACATGCCAAGTTATTATATAAATATAAATTTATTATTGGTTTTGCAATAACAATTTTTTAAACACACTGTGTTAATAATTGTATTAATAACATTTAAACAAATATTAGATTTTCGTCTTCATATAATAATTAGTGAACATGCTTGACTTGCATTGACTATAATAAAAGTAATATATAAAATTAATTCAATTTCTATAAATATATTACATAAACATGACATAAAATAAATGAAAGAGTACATTTTTAATTTATTTAATACACATACAAGTTCTGATTATATAATATTTCATTAATATAAACCGCGTATTATATATCGTTGATTTTATTAACTCAATTATTTACGCGTTAATCATATTTTGACAAGAAGAATTTTTGTTGAATAAAAAATAGTCTTCAAACATTGGATAGTTTCTAACATTTGCATCTATTGTACAATAATATGCCTATGTGATTATAATATTTTTTTCTAACCGTTTTTTAAACTGTGTGAAACTATCGGCACTCTAGATTATTACACTATACATATAATCGTCAAAATTAAAAAACACGTTAGGCAGTTTTAATATCTGTGTATCAATATTTACATTTTTAGAACGAATCATACATCTTCCCGCGACCTTTCCTTTTCCTATTACCAATATTTCTTCACATATATATTTTTCGTTAAAATAATTCTTCCTTTGTAAATTACAGTAGTGCACGATCTACAGAGCATAGATATCGTAGCAGATATGTCAGATAGCGAGGAAAGGTAATGAGATTATGTTTATGAGATTATCAATCAATTATACCATCTCCGTCGTGCATTTTAATCGGCTGATTAAATTTAAAAATTGTCAACTTAAAACTGATCAATTTTATCTACTTTTAACTAAAATATCTGTACTTTGCTGTTGGAACTTCTTCAATTTAATCCGTCGATTAAAATAATCGGAGATGGTGAAATTGGTTCATATCACATCGAAAAATAATAAAGCAACATATTTGTGATAATTTTTATCAAATCCATCGAATATAGAAAAAAAATATAATTGAATACCAAAAAATGTACATACCGATGACATAGTAAAATCAGGTACAACGAATAGAATCGTGATTTCAAATATTTAGGACGTCTTTATCACAAATATATTATAATATTTGAGTTAACTTAAATTTAGCTAATAATATATACATAAAAATGTACATAATAATTTAGTAGTTATAAAGTATAAATATATATACAAAGTAGGAAAAAAAGATCACATATTTCGAGATATATTATTGATCAAAATAAGAAAACAAGGTCTAATTAACTTGAGTTCTACAATTAATATCCTTGAAGATATTGGCTATCTTTCTATTTGTACTTATTGTTTTTTTATAATATAAATTTGCGTGCTATTATATTTAGGATATTTATAATTAATAATTTATGACAATCTTTAATAAGTATGAACAAATGTACAATTTAATTAATAAGATGTAGATATTCGTATTTGCATAATTTTTTGTGTTTTTACGAATATTGAAAATTTAAATTTAAATAAAAAAGAGAAAGTTTAAATAGATAATAAGATCTTATTAATAATACTATAGTTTTGATTAAGAAATTAATAATTATACATTGTACACATTATTCAGCAAGCAAACGTTACAATATTAATTATTCCAGCAATTTGTATTTTTTAGTTTAAATTGCTTAATAAATTATAAATGGATGTGTTACTACTTGAGAAACGATATGGAGAATGCAATATGCAATATTTGTAATAAAACTTATAAATTATTTCACATTCAATATATGATATCGCATACATTGCGTTCACATCGGAATTTTTGTAATCCCTTGAGAGAGGAATATCCTTATTCTATAACAGAAAATGGTGTAAAATGTGATCGTTGCTCTATGACTTGTATGTTATCTTTGACGCCAACTACTTGTATACAATATCACATAGAAGAGAAGCATAAACTTATCACATATATTTATATTCACGTCAATTTATCTTAGTTAATTTAATATTACATTGAAATATACGTTCGCGCGCGCGCGCGACCAGATTTGTTCTGTTTTATTTCTTGTAATCGGTAATTTGTAATAATTAATGAAATTAAGTATTTAATTTAGTATAAATTGGGAATAAGTATGAAATTAGATAACCGGACAAGAATTGTTGTATTTGAAATATATTTATATATGATGAATTTATATGAGACTATTTTAAGTTTACAACGAGAAATGTTTATATAATAAAAGCGTTGAATTAATATAAATAGTTTGTATTCAATAATTATGCATTATGCACATAATTTAAGTAAGACTTTATAACACTGACTAATTCATAATATTGTACTGTTAATTATACCAGCACATTATCACCAAGATTATACAATCTTTTTCATCGTGATAGGAACACCGCAGATATTCCAACGTCTAGCAGCAATCAGCTGCCAACTTGTAACACTTTGAGAACTTACGTTGATAATTTTTGTTCCGATTTACATTCTGATAGCGCAGTGGAGTCTACTGAAGAAGGTAATAGGACTAATCTTAAGCGTAATTATTAACATTGCTTTTTCGATATAACATAAAGCGTTATAACTCAAACTTATAAATATATTGAGTATGTTGCGATCTCATAATTTTTTTAATTACTTACATATCATGCATCGACAGAGCGAAATATTTATTTTTTAAATAATTATTAAATGATTACAAGTTTATTTATATTTCGACCGTCAAAACGTAATGTTGGCAATAATTTGTACTGGCCAGTTAGGTCGAAATATTAATAACTTGTATGTTTTTACTCATCACTGACGACTTCATTAAATTTATCGATATGTTTTAAATAATTTTTCAAATTTTTTTTTAGAATTATTTATTTATTGTACTTGATAGTTATTTTACACATAAAACATTTTACATATTTTTATAAACGAGAATTTATTTTGTTATTGATTAATTCAGTAATTGTTATCGTTATATACTTCTGTACAAATTATCAAATATTTTAGATGTTACAGGCAATCTTCCTGATATTGCACCATCAAGCAGCTTACTTTCTGCTGATACTGCTGAAGATCTGCCAAATGTCCAGGCTAGGTAACACCAGTTTATGAGATTATGGGCCGATTATATCATCTCTTTCGTGCATTTTAATCGGTTGATTAAATTTAAAAATTGCCAACTTAAAACTGATCAAGTTTATCTACATTTAAAATAATCTGTGTTTTGCCTTTTGAAATTCTTAAATTGAATCGGTCGATTAAAATAATCGAAGATGGTGAATTGGCCTACATATCACATTGAGAAATAATAAGGCAACATATTTGTGATAATTTTTTTTAAATCCATAAAATATAGATAAATTATAATTGAAAACCTTGAAAAGGTACATAATGGTCACTTAGTAAAATGATGTACAACGAATAAAATCTTGATTTCAAATATTTAGGACGTCTTTATCACAAATATATTATAATATTTAAGTTAACTTTTAAATATAGTCATAAAGTTAAGTATAAATATATATGCAAGGTGCGAGAAAAAAGTCACATATTTCGAGATAATATTATTGATCAAAACAAGAAAACAAAGTCTAATTAACATGAGTTCTACATTTAATATTTTTGAAGATATTGGCTATCTTTCTATATGTACTTATTTTTTTTATAATACAAATTTGCGTGCTATTATATTTAGTATATTTATAATTGATAATTTATGACAATCTTTAATAAATATGAAAAAATGTACAATTTAATTAATAAAATGAAGATATTCGTATTTGGATAATTTTTTATGTTTTTACGAATATTGAAAATTTAAATTTAAATGAAGAAAAGAAAATTTAAATAGATAATAAGATCTTATTAATAATTATTGGTCGAGAGGAATCAAGTGGAGATTGTGGTTTTAAAAATTAAAAGAGCTGACTTAATAAGTATTCTTATTCTTATTAATAATATTATAGTTTTGATTGGGAAATTAATAATTATACATTGTACACATTATTCAGCAAACAAACGTTACAATATTAATTATTCCAGCAATTTGTATTTTTAGTTGGATGTGGTATTATTTGAGAACCGATATGAAGAATGCAATATGCAATATTTGTAATAATACTTATAAATTACATTACATTCGAACTATGAGAAGGCATACAGTGAGTTCACATTGGGAGTTTTGTGATCTTTCGAAAAGGTATATCCTTATTCTATAACAGAAAATGGTGTAAAATGTGATTGTTGCCCTGCGACTTGTATGCTATCTTTGGAGACAACTGGTTGTACACAACGTCACATAGAAGAGAAGCATAAACTTAACAAAGATTTAGCTAATAAACTCAAAATGTGGGTAAATAAGCAACTTGATATAATTAAGAAATGTGAGATTGCGAACAATTTGGGAAATTGGATATTTTCAATTTAATGGTACATTTATTCGAAGTTCATAATGTCACTGTACCTCCCAAATTTATACCAAAAGGGTAAGAAGAATTTTCGATATATTAATTATATTGTTTTTTATCATTTATACGTACATGTATGTACATATGGATAGAATTGTTTATAATATATATAAGAAAATAAAGTTCAAATTTTTAGAATGTGTTTATCACATATATTTATATTCACGTCAATTTATCTTATTGTTAGTTAGTTCAATATTACATTGAAATATACGTTCGACCAGATTTGCTCTGTTTTATTTTTTGTAATCGGTAATTTGTAATAATTAATGAAATTAAGTATTTAATTTAGTATAAATTGGGAGTAAGTATGAAATTAAATAACCGGACAAGAATTGTTGTATTTGAAATATATTTATATATGATGATTTTATATGAGAGTATTTTAAGTTTACAACGAGAAATGTTTATATAATAAAAGCGTTGAATTAATATAAATAGTTTGTATTCAATAATTATGCATTATGCACATAATTCAAGTAAGATACTTGATAACACTGACTAATTCATAATATTGTACTGTTAATTATTCCAGCACATTATCACCAAGATTATACTATCTTTTTCATCGTAATAGGAACACCACAGATATTCCAACGTCTAGCAGCAATCAGCTGCCAACTTGTAACACTTTGAGAACTGACGTTGATAATTTATGTTCCGATTTAAATCCTGATAGGGCAGTGGAGTCTACTAAAAAAGGTATAGGACTAATCTTAAGCGTAATTATTAACACTGCTTTTTCGATATAACATAAAGCGTTATAACTCAAACTTATAAATATATTGAGTATGTTGCGAACTCATAATTTTTTTAATTATTTACATATCATGCATCGACAGAGCGAAATATTTATTCTTTAAATAATTATTAAATATACAAGTTTATTTATATTTCGACCGTCAAAACGTAATGTTGGCAATAATTTATACTGGCTAGTTAGGTCGAAATATTAATAACTTGTATGGTTTTACTCATCACTGACGACTTCATTAAATTTATCGATATGTTTTAAATACTTTTTAAAAATATTTGTTTAAAATTATTTATTATTTGTATTTGATAGTTATTTTACACATAAAACATTTTACATATTCATATAAACAAGAATTTATTTGTTATTGATTAATTCAGTAATTGTTATCGTTATATACTTCTGTACAAATTATCAAATATTTTAGATGTTACAGGCAATCTTCTTGATATTGCACCATCAAGCAGCTTACCTTCTGCTGATACTGCTGAAGATATGTCAGATGTCCAGGCTAGGTAACACCAGTTTATGAGATTATGGGCCAATTATATCATCTCTGTCGTGCATTTTAATCGGTTGATTAAATTTAAAAATTGCCAACTTAAAACTGATCAACTTTATCTACATTTAAAATAATCTGTGTTTTGCCTTTTGAAATCCTTAAATTTAATCGGTCGATTAAAATAATCGAAGATGGTGAATTGGCCTACATATCACATTGAGAAATAATAAGGCAACATTATTGTGATAATTTTTTTTAAATCCATAAAATATAGAAAAATTATAATTGAAAATCTTGAAAAGGTACATAATGGTCACTTAGTAAAATCATTGTACAACGAATAAAATCATGATTTCAAATATATAAAACGTCTTTATCACAAATATATTATAATATTTAAGTTAACTTTTAAATATAGTCATAAAGTTAAGTATAAATATATATGCAAGGTGCGAGAAAAAAGTCACATATTTCGAGATAATATTATTACAAGAAAACAAAGTCTAATTAACTTGAGTTCTACAATTAATATCCTTGAAGATATTGGCTATCTGTCTATTTGTACTTATTGTTTTTTTATAATATAAATTTGCGTGCTATTATATTTAGGATATTTCTAATTAATAATTTATGACAATCTCTAATAGAATGAACAAATGTACAATTTAATTAATAAGATGTAGATATTCGTATTTGGATAATTTTTTGTTTTTAAGAATATTGAAAATTTAAATTTAAATGAAGAAGTTAAAGTTTAAATAGATAATAAGATATTATTAATAATATATTAGTTTTAATTTGTTATTAATAATTATACATTGTACACATTAATCAACAAGCAAACATTACAATATTAATTATTCCAGCAATTTTTATTTTTTATTTTATACAGTTTAATGAATTATAAATGGATGTGGTATTATATGAGAAACGATATGAAAATGCAATATGCAATATTTGTAATGAATCTAATAAATTATATCACATTCAAACTATGATATTGCATACATTGAGTTTACATCGGCAGTTTTGTGATCTTTCGAAAGAGGAATATCCTTATTCTATAACAGAAAATTGTGTAAAATGTGATCGATGCTCTATGACTTGTATGCTATCTTTGACGCCAACTCTTTCTATACAACGTCACATAGAAGAGATGCATATTCTTAACAAAGATATCGCTAATGAACTCAAAATCTGGGTAAATAAGCAACTTGATATAATTAAGAAATGTGAGACTTGCGAACAATTTGAGAAATTGGATATTTTCAATTTAATGGTACATTTATGCGAAGTTCATGATGTCGCTGTACCTTTAAAATATATACCAAAAGGGTAAGAAGAATTTTCGATATATTAATTATATTGTTTTTTTATCATTTATACGTACATGTATGTACATATGGATAGAATTGTTTATAATATATATAAGAAAATAAAGTTCAAATTTTTAGAATGTGTTTATCACATATATTTATATTCACGTCAATTTATATCTTAGTTAGTTAATATTACATTGAAATATACGTTCGGCCAGATTTGCTCCGTTTATTTCTTGTAATCGGTAATTTGTAATAATTTATGTTAATTTAGTATAAATTGGGTATAAGTATATGAAATTAAATAAGCGGACAAGAATTGTTGTATATAAAATATATTCATATATGTTTAATTTATATGAGAGTATTTTAAGTTTACAGCCAGAAATGTTTATATAATAAAAGCGTTGAATTAATATAAATAGTTTGTATTCAATAATAATACATTATGCACACGATTCAAGCAAGACTTTATAACATTGACTAATTCATAATATTGTATTGTTAATTATTTCAGCATGTTATCAACCAGATTATTCAATCTTTTTTTGGTGCTGGAGACATTGTAGATATTTCAACGTCAAGCAGCAATCAGCAGCCAACTTGTAGTACTTCGAGAACTTAGCTGACGTTGAGAATTTTGGTTCCGATTAAAGTTCTGATAGTGGAGTCTACTAAAAAAGATAAATGTTCTCTTCTTTAACTATTTATATTGGTTTTTTTATGTAACCTGAAGCGATACAAAAACAAAATTATAAATATATATATCAACTGTGTTGTAAACTCATAATTTTTTAATTATTTATATATCAAGCATCGATAGAGCAAAATTTTTTCATTTTTTAAATATTTTTAAAATACTTTTCAAAAATAGTCTTTTAAAATTATTTATTCTTTGTACTCGATAGTTATTTTATTCATAAAACATTTTATATACTCATATAAACAAGTATTTATATTGCTATTGATTAATTCAGTAATTGTTATTGTTATAATTCTGTGAAAATTATCAAATATTTAAGATGATATTGATAATCCTATTCTTGAAAATATTACACATTCTGTTGATAGTGAGAAAATTGATTTGATTTATAACAGCGAAGTGGATAAATTATCTGGATATATAGTGGAGAAAAGAATCATTCAATGTCATCTAATGAATAATTATATTTACACTGCTTTTTTAATGTAACATAAAACGAAATAGTACGAAATTATAATAATGCCTGTTTTGCGAACATATTATTTGTTAATTAACCACTTATCGGGCAGCTATTTTAAATTATTTATATTTGTAATACTTTTGCTTTTGTTATAAGACATTGTTCATTATAAAACATAAATTTATTATTGATTCTGTAAAATTAGTACTTTAAAAGTATTGTTAACAAAGATATTTTATTTAAGCAAATATAATATTTTTGTGTTTGTTTCCAACGCGTCGCTTAATACGTGCTTGTTTTTAAATTATTTATAATAAAGATAATGTATTATATAATTTTATATTTTACGTGATCAACACATTCGGTTTAATAAATTGATTGAAATACATTCTACCATTTTTTCCATCTTTTTAACGTAATATAATCGATAATAGTAATGAATTTCTATAAGATTATATATGTAAAATTAGCGGAAATTTAAATTGCACTAACTTTTAAATGAGTTAGTGAATTAAATAAGCCAAATTTTTTAACATAGTTTTAATATTAAAATAAAAATGATCTATATAATTTTGTACCATTTTTAGAATGTCTCTCATAAATCTTTAATTAGAGATTTTTCTCTTTTTTAAATTTAATTTTATATATAACATCGAAATTATATATCGTCTATTGCATCAATTAATTAAAGGCATTTTATAAAACAAATAATATATTTCCTTAATACGGAAAATTCTATTTTGAAGAGTTATTCTTTATTTTGCAATAGATAGGGATGATAAACATGCAGGATTCTTGAGTGAAGAAAATTCAAAAATATTGATTTAAAGAATATTGTATATATGTGGATTAAGTGTTGTTTTGAATATTGACTGAAAAAAAATTATATGCGTGTTAAGTTTAAGTGTAGTCAGTACTTAATGTAACGTAACATGTTACGGAAAAGCTTGTACGGTGGTATCAAAGGCTCATTGTTTTTTCTTGACGATTTCATACAATTAACGTCGACTGATGATGATGTCCTTTAAATGGAGGAACTAATCATTGTACTTTTGAAAGTACAATTATATACGAAACTTACATTTACATCGATCGACTTGGATTTAAACAATGGATATTGTAGAAACATATGATTATTAATTACAATTATTTGTACTCTCTTTTTATGTTTTATACTTAACATGGCATCATGATAATATTATTTAAGGATCTGCATTCTTCGTTTAATCACTTATACTTAAAAGAAAATTTATTAAGCGAAAAGTGAGAGTCTCGTAAAGTTCTTGGAAGTTTAGTAAAAGAAAAGTGAGATCTTTATTGAAAAGGGAAACAATTATAGCATCCTATATATAGTGTTTTATTTATCACATATTTATATTTTTTTAATTTTTTTACATGTCTCTATTTATGTTACTACTTCTCATATACATATACTATTATTTATCTGAATATATTTACATTTTGCTAATATTAACTTTCTCTATTTCTCTGATCCGTGATTCTTTACAATTGTCTGGAACAATAATAAATCATTTCTCGGAGATCACGCTCAATTTCACAGAGGTCATGACATATGCACGCGATGACAGCAAAAATGCTAACGTTCGGGTATCTTTAGCGGAAGACTTTCGCCGCAGAATCTTCTCAGACCTTCAGTAGTAATCCTCATGTATGCGCTCCTTTCTAATCTATATAAGTTAAGAATCGAAGCGCAAATCAAAGGAAGATCCAAGAGAACTCGCGTTCCACTTTCATTCATAACGCCGCCCAACATCCTCCCCACCTTTTCATCTTACTTCTTATTATTCTTTTTTTACTCAAAGATGTCTATCTCATCGTAGTCTTTTAGAATCGAGCGTCAAGAAAGCCATACATAGTTCCTCCATGCGTGCTTATTCATTTCTTCTTCTTTTTCTTCTACACAATCATTAGAATATTAAGAGATTCGGAAGCGATATTGAATTACGAAGATGGACGCGCGCGCATTTATTATTTATTTTTTTATTTTATTTAAATTCTTGAAAGTGTCATGTCAAAAAGTAACTCAAAAGTTTTAAAAATTGAGGGACAACGCGGTTAAATCCCTTTTTTTAGATAAAATATATAACTTATTTTTAATGTTTAAAATTATCTAAATTTTAAATATATAGATTAAATATATCATAAAATTATATATATTATATAATAAGATTAAATATACAATGAGATTAAATATGTAATGAGATTAAATGTATAATGAGATTAAAAATACATAATAAAATTGTATATTTTTTATGTATTTTATTACTAACAATTTCCGCTTAATGTTTTATAGGACGATTATTCTTCAAATACATATTAAATATCTACTCGATTCCATTCTAATCCACGAATTTACGCCAAGATACGCGACCTACATTCTCTGACTTGTCTCTTCTAGCTGGTGGCCGGTTTTATCTGTCCGCGATTCGGATACGAATCCGGAAAGGAAAAAACGAGATGATGATGATCGGCTTCTCAAAAACGAAAAATAAGATTAACCTGTTTTCAGAATGGGACTGGTGCCGCTATGCGGTACCATGCGGTAATATAATTTAGGTTTAGAGAATCATTGATCTCTGCTATATAAACTACAACATTCATATTCCGAGAAAGAAGAGACAAATGCAAATAAGTTATTTTTTTATTTACAGCAAAACTGAATAATTTTATAAAAAAATATTCTTTTTTTAAGTATTAGCATAGGATATAAAAATTTTTGTAGAAACAGTTCGTCTCGTTTTATTATTTGCTGTTTCCACATTTGACATGTATTCTTACAGTTTCAAACATTTATCTTGCTCATTCGTAAATGGTAACATCGCCGGTTCACGATTTAATGCCAATTTATAGATCGACAGAATACTCGCGGTGAACTTGTATACATACATCAATCAGCTGTTTAGCGGTCGCCTTATAAAGTGACGAAGGAAACCGCCGAAGGCGTTTACAAATGACATAAATCATTAAGCTTAGACGAATGTAACTTAACTTTAAATAGCACCGTAATAAACGCCAAAAAAATTTGAAATACGAGATTTATCTTGCATAAGGCCTTAAAGAGTTTTGTTATCCGCATGATTCTTTCGTATTTTATCTTTCAAAAATTTAATTACCATTATTCTTTCATTCGCTTGATTGAATCTTCTCGAGAGAGCGATTTAATTGTTACAGGACAACTGCGATCTCCCCAATCTTCATTACATGATTGACTACAAGATACTCTCTAAAGCCTCATTCTTCAAAGCGCGAGTGTCCTTTACCTCGTGTTATTCATCCTCTTACGAAAGTAGGTTGATGGCAATTCTTAATATCAGCGGGAATTAGCAACGCGTTTTACTCGCGCGACCTCTCCGCGAAACAATTTAACCAAATCAACGTTTTCTTCGCGATGGCACATCGTATGTCGCTAACCGAAGACAGTAAAAACGCGCCATTCTCGCATTCAAGCGCGAAAAATACCGCTTTCGCCCCTATCGTCATCATCAAGCAGCTGTTGTTAGAAACGGAGCGCGGATGAGTTTGACGGAAGAGAAGATAAGAAAGAAATTTCAAGTGGAGCAAAGTTACGGTATATTTTGGCTTGTAGCGTATTAATTCGCTTTTGTGAAAAGAAAAAAAAAGTCACTGACGCAAGGGGTCCTTAGGTCGTATACGCACATTAATTACCGTTATTTCACCGCGAACAAAAGCAGAAGTGCGTAGAGTGATTTTTAGGAACCTCCGTTCTCAGGTGACGAAACAATAATAGCGTCTATGTGTGAAATATGTAAATAATACGTGAATTTCAAAGCTAGAAAAAAATGTATATACAAGTAGCAGACAAAAGAATTATATCTATGGCGCCAAGAAATTAATTTTGGCTAATGCTAATTTGTGAAAGAGAAAGTCCTGTAAAAAAAGAGAATCTCTTGAATAATACGTTTTAATTAAAGAGAGATGCGTGTAATATATTTTTAGGTTTCTCGTTGAAGCGCGTATTTCGTAAAAATTAGAAAATTAATACTATTATAAATTCATCATAAGCAAAACAACGCCATAAGGAATATGCGAAACGTAATTATAACGTGAGAAAGTATTCTTATGTGACTCGTGCTTGTATCTTCTTTTTACTACATTTTTGGTATTTCAAAATAAACACTATATATGCAGAAAAATACTTTCGCCGTTATTTTTGCACAGATATTACATAGATAACTGAATATTATAGTGTTTAGTGCACTTTCCAAGCAATCTCAGATGAGTTAATCTAAGGTGAGAAAGTTTGCGATTGCAGTCTGAAATTGCAAGGTGTTTCTAGTAGTATAGACTGTAATATTATGCAATACATTCTTCTATAAGATACACTTCGAAAGAGCTAATTTTTATATTTTTTAGTAACCGATATTTCTCATTTTCGGCATTGGAAATTTTGAATTAAATTACTCGACAGTTTTCTTATCAATTATATACGCTGAATGTGATTATTTCGATCTTATATATAGATTCGACACTGTTAAATCACTTGAACTACATTTTTAGGTAACATTTTTAGTAACGAGGAGTTAATTCAAATCTTAATTGCCGAGCTGTCCAATTTTGCAAACGGTACAGTTATTATAAGAGAATCTTAAATTAGTACGTCAACTCATACATATACATATATATATATATATATATATATATATATATATATATATATTACGTACGCACGCATTTACGCATTACGCATTTACGCACGTACAATACGCATACCATACATACACTCTCTGAAATTCATTTTTATACGTCTTAAATAATGTCGAGAGCAATCAAGCACAATGATCAATATGCTATTATATGAAGAATATACGTATGAAATTGGGTGACTTTCTCTAAACAATCGTATACTGTTAATCGCATTATTGAAAGTAAGAGATATAAAGTGGCAATCATAGAGAAAACAACTCGGTTAACCCACTGTACTGCTCATACTGATTAATTTTTTTTACAGTGTCATAAAAACGATGCAAATTAAACCGTGGCCGATCAAGTGTAATATTTTATTAATGATAAAACACGTTTTTAAGCGAATCTCAAATTTAATCATGCGTGACAGTAGCTTCCGACTAATAAATAAAAGTATCCATATTTTTAATGTAATTATTTTTTATAGACTAAATATTCCAATATGTAATTAAAAATTGTTTTAAGTAAACTTTTATTTATTATTTTATTTAAAAAATTTTTCTAACTTTAAAATTAATCAAAATTACAAATATAATAAATTTACTTTTTGTGGTTTTTTTTTAAATTTTGGTTGATAATTTTCGTTGAAAAAGAAAAGAGAATGTACAATATTTAAGAGGAAAAAATCTCGGCTTTCTATCATTACAAAGATTGTCAAAGACATTCTATAGATCTGTAGAGTCACCTGTTTTACGCACGTGAGAAAAAACGATGATCGATGGTGAGGAAAAACTTTCTCGGCACAATAGAGTGTCACATCGAAAGTACTAGATCCGGAATCGTTAGAAAGATAACAGCGTGTTGATCATCTATTAAGCCGACGTTGATACTTCAGCATACAAGATGTACGTTTCATATTTCCTTTCGCTCATAAGTCTCTCAATTTGGAGTAAATTTGTTTCATCAAAATTTAAATGGAACGCAGTGTTTGCTGTCATTATCAATTTCCCTATAATTAATAAAAAATTAAAATAAAAATTGAAAGAGTCTCGGATATTTTTTTGAAGACAACTGACTGAAATCGTCGAGAGACTACAACTAAGAGAAGAACACGAAAGAAAGTACGATGAACCTGGAACACCTTGTATATTGCAGTACAAGCGTACGATGCTGCGCGTAGTCTGTTGACCGAGAGTAAAGACGCTGCTCTCTCGCGCGAATGGAGAGAAGGAGCCCGACTTGTGGCCGACTTCTTCCTTCTCTTCGGTACGACACGCTTATCCACCAACCCGACGACGGTCCGGTTTTCTCGGTCACGGCTGCACGAGGGGGAGACTCTGCATTTCTACATTATCCCCACGTGGTCCACGTGGGGAGGCTCTCCTGGTCTCCTACCACTGTGAGAGAACTGACGTTTCGCGCCAGTTCGAAGAGCAGATCGGCTGTAGGTGGATTTGGCGGACAAGCATCGAGAGATTCCACTGGAATAAATACGTCTTTTGAGGAAGCCTCTGACAACTCTGCGCGAACACGTGGCATTCGTGAATCCGAAGATAACTGTTCTGCTTTAAGTGAAGATCATCGTTTTAGTGGTACCGTTTTATAATAGTGCCGAGAGATTGATATAGACAGTTGCAGTGGTAGTGACAGTGCGATCCGTGATAGATCGATTGATATTGAAACTGTTGATGAGTCTTAGTGGTTTGTTAGGATGAGGATAGGACGGTCATGCTGGGTGTTACTGGTGAGAATAATCTTTGGCTCGACGATACGTAGGATAATATTGCATTCGATTGCAAATAATCTAATAAAAATCTCTAATTGCTACTTTAACTTATATTATTAACTTTTCAACTGCTGCTTAATTATAAAGCTCTTACGCTTTAACGCTTTTATCTTTTGTCGAAAAATATTGGAAGAAAACACATATCATAAAAAGATTTATATATAATATATATTTCTCTAATTTCTTAAAAATAGCATGTATCATTTTTGTATCATTTCGTATGAATTATAAAAAGGGGTACTTTAATGTATTATTATTATTCATTTCTGTATTTGACAGATACTAAGATAACTTTATTCAATTTGATCTTAAAGAGTATTTTCACATAAAAAATTTCATTTTCTAATTTTGGAGCTGAATAGATGAAATTCTTCTATTCCTTCAATTTTATCGTGTGATGCTTCTTGAGTCAGCTTCAGCTTCCGCAGTCCAAAGTGGAACAATCTTTGCGACCTTGATCCACTGAAATGAGGAAAAGTAATAGATGCTCCGTGCACGTGTTGGAATACCGAGTTCGCTCTCGTGCGGGAATTCGCGAAAGGTTTTTTTTATCAACCAAGTACTCGATCCGGAATACGTATCACGAAATTCTTGAACGTATAGTCACGCGATTTCATTTACTTCGCTCAAGAACCCATTGAATGCTAGTAAAATCGTCAGCTCGATGGTTACTGGGTCGTTATGTTGATTGAAAAACTGCGAACAAGGACTTTAAAGAGAATCAAATAATATACTGTAAAAGTTTAAGCATTTTTATTCATATTCTCTTAATCTAGCTAAAATTTTATTTTAATGAATAAATGCAAGAAAATATTTAAATCTCTTTTTGTAAAAATTTAAAGATTATCGATCTTATTCTCAGTAGCTTTAAGATCATTATCGATTATATATTTCCTTTCTATTTTTATTGTAATATTTAATTAATTTTATGTAATGTTTAATCAATTATAATTTTTATTAATTTGTTTATAAAAATGTGAATAATGTGCAAGAAGCTTTGTTCCGTGAAATTAAATAATACATTCTTAATTTTATTGCATAATACTCGAGTCGCTATTTCCATTTGTTGTATTACAATTGATTAAAATGTATTTCTATTAAGATTAAAACTGCAAATGATGCGTTGTGGTCAATGCACTCTCACATACGTGCGCGGTTGCATTTACTGTTTTAATCTCGATTATATTTTAGCGAAACTAATTGCTTTTACGAAAGGATTTGCAAGAGATATTCTGATATCTCTACTGAAACGATTTGTTCCATTAAAAAATTAAGGCACATAAAAAAATTTATATAAGTATTTTAATTATAAGGATATCGATTTACTAATATTAATGAAACGTAAGCACCGATAAGTATAATGTTGGTCCGATTCATTAATATGAACATAAATTTAATGCTTCGTGTCGAAACCGGCTTTCGATACAATTATACGTCATTTATAATAATTAACTCGCTTAGTTAAAATAATTAAATCAGAGGACGCTTATCAAGTCGACAATTACAGGTTGTCGACTATCAAGAGTAATGGAAACTTGCGGCGATTTACTTTCACTATATGCAAGTCTCTTCTCTTTCTCTCTGCTGGAAAATCATATACATACAAGTCATATATTTAAGTTATTAAGTAAAGTATCACTGAGAGAGATTAAATCCGATATAAAACGATTTCGCGGCGAGATTTTAGGGATCGATCTCTTGTTTCTCTTGTTTCGATACGATTGCATAAGCTTGCGAAGCGAACTCCTGCAAAGTAACCCATTACAGTAATTGCACTTCCGGTGCAACGAACGTATAAATGACGTTACTCCGGACGAGCTTCCTTCTCGCAAGGAAAGATCTGCGCGATAATCGGGTCCACGTTCTTGGCAAACAAGGGGAGATACGTCTAACGTAATTTACGCTTTCTTGCGGTTTATTCTCGGCTGTGTATGCACCGGTATACATGCATGGCGTTGCACACTCGTTACGATTGTTACTTTGCGGAAATTGCATTTTATTGTCCCTTCGCTCAACCGCACGCGCCGTTTTCACTGGCATTGCATTCAATCTTATTAAAAGCGACGCCCGCTAATTAGCGGTATCGGAAGTTGATTAACATATTATTAACTCATTTATGAAAATTTCTTCATTTATGCACATATATTTCGCGTATCTTGATGCAAGCCTTGATTTTCGCCCGTTAATTACAGCTCGCTGACAATATTTAAAGACACATTTATTAATTAACATTATATAGTTAATTATCTCTGTTTAGTCGATTAATTTGAACCAAGTTTTATTAAATTTTCAATTTTTGAAATTCTAATAATTGATTAGACTGCTGATGACGTAATGCATTATTTAATTCCATTGCTCTGTGCTAATGCTTATGAAATTCGCTTGTTTATATGATATCTACAATAATTATAAAAACGTATCACAATACGCGACATTGTTTGTTTCATTTTTTAGACGGTCGTGCTACTGTCCCCGATCCACGCCGAGAAGGATGCTGACAATATCAACGATGGCGAGAAAGCTCAGGAGAAGATTTCGACGTTGCTGAAGGTGGTCGACGAAAATGGCAAAAACAGAACAAGCAAAGTACGAGAAGTAGTGACATCCGTGAGTAAACGCGTTTGCACTCGAATGGATAAATATTCAATCGAACTGCGTCTATTTGCACTCAATTGACATCTACTTAACTGATACTTGTTGCTTCTCTGTAACATCTGATTTATTTAACACGAAGATGCGTAGATGTACAAATAAATAATGATGTCGCTAATGTACAGATAATTACTAGATAAACTATAACAGTACATTGAATTGTTCATGTCAATTAGTAAAAGAAATACCTTACTTCCGGAACATATAGTCTTATTTATTTTACGAAAATAATACTCGGTTTTTGTCTATAGGCGATGAAGATTCCTGAAAAGCGCGAACAAATTGGCGAAGTAATACCGATAATGCGAAGCATGTCTCCACCGCAAAAGTTGGTAATGGCAACTCTAATTTCCTCGAGAATATCCAACGACACGATTTTCCCGCCACTCGAGGAGGCGCAAGCCCTTTTAAGCGATGGGAATCAACGCGAAAATGCGAGCAGAGAACTGATGCTACCGATCAACATGGATATAGCGAAGATTATATCCGAGTCCGATGCGGATGAGAGCGATGAGGATGAGGAAGAGATGCCCGAAGCGTTACCGGAGGTGAGTCAATGAAAAAAAATGTGGACGTAAAAGAAAAAAATAAGGCAAATTTATGCGGCCCGCGTTCGCGCATAAATGATCTATCGCCCCGACGCGATTTTTTTCTTCTACCATCGGCGAACGAACGGTAGAAAGTCGGAGTTTGACGTGGTCCACTGATCGTAAATTTCAACGAGATTTATCTCATTGGTTAATTATAATATATATGTTTTCCCCGACGGAGAGACGCGAGTTTCTCAGACGGCGCGACGCTTGTAAATATTGAATTTTATATACGCGAAACCTGTAATAAATATTCCAGTTCTACCTGGCGATTTCTAAACTTAAAAGTTGATATCCACATTCGCACCGGTCGTATAAATTTAATGGAAAGATCGTTGATTATATGTTTATTACACAGACTCGATGCACGCATCTGTCATTCTTACTTGCAGTTAAATGTTATTTGAAAAATTGCATCGCGGAGATCGTAAAGAATTAAGTACAGTTATAAGATTGTACGGTGTTTTCTTGGATTTAGAACGGGTGGCATCGTACGGTTTCACTTGTAGCACTGGTCTTTTAAACGGCACCTTTTATGCGAATACTTTCACACGCGTTCGACATATTTTATTTCTTCTTCGCAAGGACCATCTCGTGAGTGGGATCGTGGCTACTATATACTATCAGACAATTGTGCGGGAAAGGACGACTTTCCATTCCGGACATTAATTAGCAAGCTTGATGCTCGAACGAATATAGGCGGATATATATTTATCTTATGTGTGTAGTCACGCATAGATAAGCAGCAACATAAGATGCAAAAAATTGGACTGTGATTCTTTCTCTAGCAATTTATTTACTTCCATAATCTACAACTTTATATGTCAAGATGTTGATAGACACATAATCTGTTTTTAATCTTCCAAGAAGATATTTTAGATGTGCGAATGTATAAATTTCGAATTGATAGTAAAGTATACCGTTAATGCAGCGCATAAAATATATTTGATGTGTTCAGACATATGTTCCTTTTAAGTATACGTAAACGATCATTAAGGTCAGTGAACACAGACAATACTTGTGAACGCTGATAATTACGGAGAATATAATAAAAATTCGCACACATTAAACTGCGATTATAAATTTCGCGTAAAATCACACGTGGTTACAATTATGTATAATTAACTAGATGATATTCGTTCCGCTTTAATTTAAAAAAGGAAGAAATTTAATTTCGACAATCTGAGACAATAAAATTTCTTAAATGGGAGATAAAATCGGAATACTCAAGTTTTGCAAAAGCGTCAATATTTTTCTAAATTTTTCCGAATTGCAGGCTCAAGAACTGCGATTAGTGATGCCGAAAGAGCGACGGCGACCCGTGTACATCAAACCATTGAGACCAGCGAGACTATCTCCTCCGAACAGAAGGAACGTTTACGCAGGTCAGTTTTCCACGGTATCATTTAATCCTGCTAGATAAAAAATAGATCAGTCGAGACAGATTTTTTTTTATTTTCAGGCCAATCAAGGCCGTCAATACGGCCGTCTAAACGTCCGAACGATCCGAAGAGGAGGCCCTCGGAAAACGAATGCACTTTCTTCACGAAGACGGTGTGTCTCGAGGCCAACGATTATCCGCAGTGAGTCTCTGTCCCGAACTTTCGTTTCGGCATTGAATTAATGACGAACATTGTTACGCGGCAATTTGCATGCGACGGGCGAGATTAAAATCTCTCGAGCCGTCTTAATTGGCGAGAAGCCCGCGGAGTTTTCACTTTCCGCGTATCTCTTTTTCGGGATGATTAAAAGAAAGGTGATCGAATTTTAGAGATACATAAATAAACGATCGAGCAAAATTAAATTAATAGAATTTCAACGGCAAAAATTATTATTAAATTTTTTATAAAAAAATCTCTTTAGAATTATATAATATCTTTTTCTCTTTCTCTACAAATATAAATAATTTTTCTTGTAAAGAATTATCAATATTCAATCATAATATAATATTTCGTTCGCTAAATTTTCTTATGCTTTATAACTGGACATTCTGAGCTCTTGGAATAAAAAGCAAATGCGTATAAAAATTTTCTGTGATAGAGAAAATTGTCGGTGCTGATTATTTCCGCGAGAAAATGTTAATACCGCGGCTTTAACTTTTTAGCGAGGCGATTATAAGGAGTTTGAGGACCAATAAGGAAATGGTTGCGGCATTGTTGACCGATTATAAGGCGCAAGATTACGGAAGTGCGGAAGAAAAATTACCGAATCCTTTGCCATTGGAGACTAAATACGAGAACAGATATGAGAGCAATGAGATTAAAAGGTAGATAATAAAAATATCCCTCTATTCTCTTCTCTCTTCTAAAATATCTGACAGTTGTATTTATATGCGCAATTTATATTTTAATTAATTTATATTTGCATCCATCTTTTTTTTAATAATTTGCGAAATGGTGTTCTCTTTTAATATTTATTTTTTGCCCCAGAAGATCCGACAGTTCCTTCGATAACGTGGAGGAGGGTTTCACCTGTCCGTCGACTGTCAAATATGCTCGTCCGCAATTGGCGAGAGCTGCTTCCGGAGTCTGGAAGTATATAATAAATACAGGCGAACACACCCAGACGATACGACTGGAAAAGTGCTCGTAAGTATGGCAACGTTATGAATTAAGGAAAGAAAGGTAATTTATTTGGGCATTAATTATCAATTTACGTAATGATTTCATTTTAAGCAATTAAATGAATGTATACCTGATCAGAATCGCGAAATATCTGCCAGTGTTAAGGCGCTGATTTGCAATAAAGAGAAAGAAAGCTCGAAAATAATAAATTATTTATTAAAGGAAAAAATTAATATGACTTTTAGTAAAATTTCATTATTTAAATTATAAGTTCTTCTATTTTCCAAATACTATTAAATAATGAAATTTTAATAACATTCAATGTCTTGTTACAGTAATCCACATTCGACCTGCTCGTTCATCTCCGAGAACTATCGATCTTCCTGCGTACAAATTTACAACTATCACAGACTGTTGACTTGGGACCAGAAATTGGGATTGCACATGGATATATTCAAAGTTCCCACTTGCTGTAGCTGCCACGTGCACGGCTACTCCGAGATCTTTCCGCCGCATCAGAAGGATCCTCCGACGAAGCCCAAGGAGACGTTTCCGGGCGCAGACTTCGTAACGATCAACGATCCCAAGGAGGATTTTCAAGGCAACCTCAATCACATCAGCAGCAAATACTCTCCCACCTCAAGCTACGACTCCAATCATGGTATTTAATTTTGGTATTATTTGCTGATATATACTATAACTAGTTGGTGAACGCGTTTCGTATTTTTTTCCTCTTTCAGTACCCACCAACAAAAAGGCGGTGCTAGACACTGTCAGCGCGACGAATAGACCCACCTTCACTCTTCCGAACAGAAACAGACCGAAGAAGCCCTCTCCGATCCCAAGGCCGTATGACAAATTACCGCAGCAGCATGCGCCTAACACTCGAGCACCAGGGTACAAGGGCCCACTAACTAAGGTCGGTAGACCTAATCGACCTAATAGGCCTCCCTTTAGACGAGAGTCCATTTCTCACGAGGATTACGCGGAGAGTTCCCGTAACAGCTCAGTCATCAACAGGTAAATAGTACAATGTTTCTATAATTATATAATTTATTCATTTATTATTGTAATACAAAATTATACACGCACTTGTTTGTTTTTTATTAATTTATAAATGGATAACTTTTGCAGATATTACAATATCTAGATTGATAGAAAAAATCAATTCTTTGAATAAAAAATTAATTATAACAATTTACATTAATCTATCCTTTTCTCTTATATATAAATAAATTAATTTATTAAATGTCTGAAACTCGCGTAAGTATTTATAAACAGCAGGATCTACTTAATTAAGAAAAGTAGCTACATTTAAGTAGTTTAATTAAATACTTGAAATCGGTCAAGCTTTTAAAATATGCAATTTATTCGCTGTTATATTAACTTTTTTTAGATTAAACAATGTGATGGTTTCTTGTCATATTAAAATAATACACAAAATAAATAGCTTTGCTCTCGAAATTGTTAGATATTAAAATTTTTGACATCTTCTAGATACAGTCAGCCTTATGACCAAGACGTGGATGCCACGACGAGGCTACAGAACGGAGGCTTCGACGACGAGTATCACGAGCCGCAGAGGAGAATCAACTATAACTACCACCCTATCATAGACTTTTTCAAACCGGAAGCTTCCATGCTGCAATCCCCGGAGCCGCAACTCACTGCCCAGCCGGCGACGGTTCAAAGTGACAATAGCGCGTGGAAGCCGATGATATCTTAGATCGTAATGTTCTTCCTTCGGAGTACCTGACATCCTACTTTAATGAAGATTCCAAATCACGTATTTCGCGACGTCCGTGTTTCTTACGTTAATCTCTATGATCGTGAGAGAGTATTATTTGTTCGAGGAATATAATACATGGTGCTCTGCAATATGAGATATTCGTAGCTCAACTAGGTATCTTTGAGATTATTTTGAATTTAGAAGATTTAAATTAATAAGAAAAAAATAAGTTTGAAATTTCTATTTAAAATATTTAGACTATAAACAGATTTGATTTTGCAGGGCATCTTGTATAAAAATTTAATTAGCTCTCTAATTTGCTTCCTTTTATCGTTAAATCGATTAATAGGCAATATTAAATTTCTACGACGTATCTTCTCGAAAAATTCCTATATAATATAAGAAAAAAGGAATTAGAATAGAGGATGTGTTACGTTCGTAAATATGATCTTTCGGTAGAGTATTATGGCCACAATGGGCAGATGCAATGAAAAAAATTGTTTTCTTTAAACGCATTCATCTTGATCTGATATTTATTAGTTGTTGTATGAATTATTTATAAATTATACTTAAGATTTATATTGTTCGTTTTTTTGTATCACCAATAAAGTATTAGATTGTTTCCTTGTGTCTCAACATATATTTTATTGTTTGACGTAAGTTGGTTTAATTACAGTATATTATTATATATTTATACTTTATTACAATGGGCAAGAGAAAGCGTTCGAAATTTTATTCGTAAGGTGAGCAATACCAATCTCTGTTACCATAAAATATGCACGATTTACAATTTACTTGCCACAACTTATTACGATCAGCGATCTGTGAATGCAGTTTCACATTTTGGAAGTCAAAAACTTCTTCCTTCCTGTGTAGCTCACTTTCGTGCCAAGGTGAGTGACCAGCAGTATCTGCGATTTATAGCGAAACGCAGATATCGGGATTATTATTTTATTCAAAATTGAGAGAATGTAGTCTGTCCGTCTTTGCACGAAGGAGAAAGCTAAATCTTTTCTCACAATTATATGTTTTATAAACACGTTGCTTCCGAAGGTGCACATTAAGTTAACATAAACACGATAATGGAAACACGAAAGAATCAAGTTTATCTTATTATTATCGTAATTTAACTAGTCCATTTAAAATTTATATAAGTTAAATTGTTTATTCTTAATGTTTTGTCATATTATATATATATATATATATATATATATATATATATAAATTTGTTATTTTTCTTATATTTTAAATTATATTTTCAGTAGCATGCTGTAACAATTGAAAAAGAGAAAAAGATGTGTATGATTTTTATTACTTATTTAGTTATGATTGTTACTTAATTGTCATTAATTAATTAACATCGAAACTGCTCAATTTCATTATCCTTATATTTCAGGAAAAATAAAAGGTATTACAAAAAATAAAACATTAAATTATGCATGTTAGAAACGTATTTTAAAAATACTCTAATACAGTTTTATACTAAAATATTTAAATGTATAGACACATATATTTCTTACAATATAGCAATTGTATTACAATGCACAAAATAATATTTTGATGTAAAAAGCGCTATATTATACTGCAAGTCACTTTGTCAAGATTAACAATGAAATGTGATTTATAATATTCTCTATTGTCGATTGCATTCGTATGAGTAGTTATGTAAAATTTAAATTAATTTTTACTATAGTTAGATATCTTCAATATATTGTATCAATATTTAAAAGATCAAAAATACAAGATGGAAAATTTTACATATAAAATAGTAATTTAAGTTTATAACATTTTTATACACAACTAAAAATTTAATACAAGAAATATATATATATATATATATATTTTTTTTTTATTGAAAGCATATATTTAGAACATAAAATATATAATAGGAAAGTAATTGTTTTCTAATATCAAATAATTTGATAGATTATGTCATATTTGATATCTGAAGAAAATTCACATATCCAAGCTGCTCTGGAAATGGAAATTCTATTCTGTGATAGTTCTCTGGCGGATTCGCCGGAGCGAAGAAAGTCTCGGAGCTCGAGCGGATACGCTTCGCGGCTCAATGCGGAAAGACACGGGAGCGAAGCGCAGACGGCGAAACGAGCGATCCAGCTGACTGAACGAAATAAATCGCACTACGGTTTGCACTCGCCTCACCAGATATTTCCATGCTGGAGCCATCATCTCCTACGTCTTTCTCGTTAGCCCTCTTTGCTTTGCGCAACGATAACGGTGCGCCTCGTCTGATTAATGACGCATTCTTCTCCTTCCGTGCGCCTCTCTTAAAAGGCGATCGCTCTCGCGTCGCAATTAAGAATAGGAGTGCGACGTAATTAGGATACCGTATATCGAAGTTTCTCTAATACGAGTCAGCGAAGAGAAGCGTCTTGGGTGAAACGGCCCGGCGAAAGAATCCAATCGAGAGTGACAGAATCGTTGAACGATCGGATCTGCACGCTTCGCGGAGCAGGGGTCTCTAGTCGTTTCTAGACGTTTTTCCATCTTACCTCGCGGATGGCTGAAAAATATAAATTAGATCACGCGATACCATCGGTTAGTTTGACGAAAGATCTCGATCGAAGATGATTAGAGATCACGTAGGCGGCTCGCATTTGTATCGCGAATATCTTTTTTTTGGTCACGCGAAAATAATGTAATGGTGTCTTCTTCTTCCAAAGTGTCAGAAGCATCCAATAAATTTCATGATTTAATCAGTGCTGCTTTGATCGATCGTAAATTAATAATATAATATATACTAAGTTTGCAGTAAATTTGTGATATGCATTTAAATGTCAATATTTTCAATAATCTAATATTAATATTTTGTTTAATAATTGTGATAAGATAATCATTTATCGACCAGTGTATACGAGTGAAACTCTCACGATTTAATAGGCATTAGCAGTCGCATATCGAGCGATATTTCTTCATGATATTATGAAGCGATGAACAATTCAGAAGAATGGAGCAACGACGAAAAGTTCGTAATCTGATCATCGCTATTCTTCTAACAATCATTAGCAACCATCCCGTGTCATCGAGTCAGATCGTCGATTCCGATAGCGATCGATCCACCGATTCCATCTTGTTGCAGCCTTTGAACACCACAACACCGACCTATCAAGACTCCACAACCTATTTACCGATTTCAACAAGTACGGAAACTCAAACGGAAGAAATACTTGAGCCCGCAGAAACGAATACTCTGAATCGATACGCAAAACCGTCTCATCATCATGAAGAATACAACGAAAATGACGACAAGCCTGAAGAGCCCCCGGACCACGCGATACCGTATTCGGAACACGAAGAGGCGAGAAATGTGTCCACTCGACCGAAGTATGTCGCTCCAGGAGTCTGGGCTAAACCGCCACCGGAGAAAAACATTTCCTTGGATTTTGTGCCGACGAAGTTGCACGCTCAAGTTCGAGGAGTTCGTACCGTGAAGAGATTACCGCGGCGAGAGGCGATCAAAGGCGCGAAAACCGACGAAGAGAAGCGCAACGCGCCTCGCTTGAGAGAGGTCGTTACCAATTCGAAGGTCAACACGGTCTACACCGAGGAAGGATACGAGGATTCGGCGTACGATCACGCGGGACATATCCGGGATGCCGACTTTCATCAAGGATTTGCGCGGAAGCTTCACGATCGAAAGAATAATAATAAACTTCATTCCTCGAGCAACGAAAAGAAGAAAGGGAAACCCGATGAATTCGAGGAGTACGAGGAGGATTATCAGGATCATTTTAAGAATGGAAAGGCCTCGGATGACGAAAATCATTTGACAGGACACGGCAGAAACATTTGGGAGGGATCCGAAATAGATTCTAAACTCGTGGCTGAGAATGGTATTCGGGAGCTGGAGGAAGACATCGAAGAGAATGCTGAAGAGACCGAGAGGAACTTGAAGAACTATCAAAACGCGCAGGAATCAAAGCATCGCAATGATGTCGAAGCTATTAACGCGGAATCAGAAGAGTCTCAAGACGAAACTGATTTAGAAGATGAAGAGACCGAACCTCACGAGGTGAAAGAGAAAGAATCTAACAATAAGTGGAAAGACAATACTATAACTAAGGAGACGAAGCAATCGTCTAAATTGAAACGGAGAAAGAAAGAGAAGCTCCATCGTGAGAATCACGAGACAAACACCGTTCCATCTGACGAAATAAGTTCGACTGATATTAAAATAAATTCCTATGTAAATCCTTATGATTTTTTAGCAAATCTCTCGAATTCGCGAGCGTATTCCATCGACCAGACGACCTTGCGTTATGTCGCTCCGACTGCGACGGCTTTGTTTCATCAAGGTAATGATCAACCGACGACGGTGAATTACAGTCAGCTCTTCTGGAACTATTTTAGAACGAGGCAAGGTCCATCGACCACCGAGTCGTCCGTTTCGCATCCGTACTCGACGACCATGAATCCACAACCGGAAGAACGGATGCCGATTGCAGTGACAACTATTGACAGTCACGGTCCGTATCTTCTAATGACGAAGACCGACGACGTCGACTATGTCAATAATGTGGTTTCCACAGTCGCGACGTTCACCAGCGTGCAGCCTCTTCTGCTTCCTTCGAATCCTGAAGACGTGGAATATTCAACTCCGACGAATCTTCTCGATAATATAACGTCCAGCACCCCGGTTGTCATGACTCTTAACATTACCCAAGAAGCTTATTCGGAAATAGATTATCCTGAAAATTCTTTACTCGGGTCTGTGCTCGACAACAGCAAGATCGCTGTAACTAAAAGCAAGGTCAAATATAAAATCGCGATGAGACCGAAATCGGAGAAGAAACCTGTCAAAGCCGTTAATTATCAATTGCCTTATCAACAAGTTCCATCGTCTATGTTTAAGAAAGATAAAGAAAACAAGAAGATCCGTGACGAGCTAAAGGCCAAGTACAACAAGATTCTGAATTATATTAAAAGCAAGCAAAAGAGTCAATCTCTTCCGGAACAGAAGATTGTTTTTCCAGAAGACCTTACTTTGATGAGACCACCGATTCTTCAGCAAGACACGTATTCGCTCTTCCCCATCGATCGTCCTTCAATTATCCAGAATCATCGATCAAGCGTGTCCATCGAAAATGAACCATCTCGAGAGGCTAACTGGAGAAGCTTGTTGCAGGACCAATTTTATCCTCAACCGATCGAATTACCGTTGCGTTCCGATATTCAGCCTTTCGCCTACGTTCAACCGGTGCATCTAATCTATCGCAAGAATCAGCTTCCATCTACGAAGTTGATGCCACCGCCGTTGTCGGCGGCGAGCACTTATGCCAATTACCATAATGATCGGCAGAGCAACAATTATCCTTTTTATATCGGCGATAAACCGCAGCAGAAGCGCGATAATGCATTCAAGTATTTCCCGGTGGTCTCCGAAGAGAGCTGGAGAACAAGATCCAGGAGAAAGAGATCCGAGTTTCGCAACGTCGATGTGAAAGCGGCGGCAAACAATAGTGTGACCAATGGCGATGAATCAGAGCAGCGAGATAAAGAGACATTCGATGGAATAATTGACAGGTCGAAAGGAAAATCGTCGAATTCAAGAGTGATCGATACGCCGATAACTGATGTTCCAGATACGAGGCTAGCATCCCCCGCGAAATCGAGACACGACAAGAACGGAACATTCACGACTTTCATGGAAAAAGAGATCGCTACCGTTAACGGTGAAGATGCGAAAATAATCTACAGTTCCAAGCCAGGTGAAAAGGATTCAGAATCGACTCGATCGACAAAAGAAGATGAACATGAAAGCGACACAAATGTGCGAGATTTGACGGCGAAGAAGAGAAATTTTCTGCGGGATGAAACTCCATTAAAAAGGAGTTTGAAGAACCCAAGAAACCATGAAGAATTGTTGAATGAAGCTCCCAAAATTAATAGCGACGTTATCGATCAAGAAATCGCCACGCGTTTTAATAATAACAACGAAACCAAAATCGAGGAACAAGAAAAGATCGAAGCTGAAGTTCCCAATTTCGAAAACACCGAAGAACTCGCTGAAGACAGCCTCGCGGAGCCTTCCACGACAACGGAAGCCGTCGTAGATACGAACAAGTATCCATTTTATATGGACAGAGATGTACCAAGCGCGTCCGCGTTGAAATACGTCGTAGATCCTAATACGATACCTCGGAAGACCTCGCGTGGAATGGAGTTCTACAATTCTCGGAACTCTTACAAGAAGTGCGACGAGGTGGAACCTAATGTGGATGAAGCGTTGCCCAAGAAAGAAGAACCGGATCCCGAACGAGGTCCACCGAAGGATCTCCCGCGTCTTCGTGGTCTGGGAGAGAAGCTGGACTGCTTCAAGGCCAAGTACTTCGACGAGAATCCCCTGGACAATCCGCTGTTCGCTGAGAAGCTGATCCAGGAGCCGACTCCGCCGTCGGAATTGGACCCGGCAAGGTTCGCCTCGAGGATCATGGTGCTACCTAAAGACAGCGAGGAGTACATCGTCCATCAGGTCTCGAAGAAACCCGAACGAAGCGGTCGTCAGTGGCGGAATCGAAATCGACCGCAATACGAGACACACGAGTCGATTCACGTCAACTACAAGCACGATAAGCAGACCGGAAGAGGCAGGAACGCGTATCTGCACACTGTGCGAGGCACGAGACCCCATCTGAGCGGAGTGCGTCGAGTGAAGCCTAGAAAATCAAGACCGAAAGCGAGCGGCAGCACTACGCAGTCGCCGAAATTTTACCAGACTGCGTCTTATCAGAACCAGGTATACGAAGATGTGATGGGTAACATCAGAAACTTGGCGAACGCTTATCAGGTCTACGAGATAACAACCTTGCCACCGAGCTTGCAGATCCTGGAGATGGCCAGTAACGAGAAAACGGTGAAGATTGAGAATGTCACGTCGAATTCTACCTCGAAAGAGAACAACACTTCGTTTCCGGATGTTAACGATGACGCGAGCAACCCGAAATCGTCGGAGATCAAAGGACTGCTGCCTCCTCCGAAGTACTCGGCTCCGCGAAAAATCAGTTACAGGAAATACAGACCACTGGGTAAAAGAAGAGTGTCTCTGCTGAGATCTTCGAATCTTCCTCGAATCATCGCTCATCATCATACCGTTAAGTTGAAGAAGCGCAGCGCGACGGATAATACTGCAAAAAATTCTTCTGAAAGTACGATAAGTAACGAGGGTGAAAGGACTACGACTGAAGAATCTGTAAAAGTCGATGTCGGAAATGACACGATAATAAAATTGATAGAGGAAGAGACGCGGAAAACAAACTCGACGCCTGAAACGCCGGACTTGGATGTCGAGGAGAGCAAACAAGATCAAAGTTTATCGACGACCTTGAAAATCGACGGTAAGAAGAGACGAAGGAATTTCAAGACTAACGACGAGACCAGCGAACCTTCTCAGAACAAAGTCATCTATACGATCAGAGATCGAGTGAGATACTCGAAGCCTAAAGGAAACACGAGAGGATTCGGTAAGTTTAACACAAGCTCGAAGACGGTCGATGAAGATAGCAGACGAAAAGAACCCCGATATAATTCCTTTGAAAGAAAGAAGAAGTTGGACGATCGGCAAAATTCTACGTTGAATTCGACCGAAAGCACAATTGGGATCAAAAACACAACGTCATCGAAAGAAGATGGAGTGAGCAACATAACCGAGGTTTATCGCGCGGAAGAATCTGTTGTGCGTCGAACAATCTACGGCAGAAAAAAACATCCAGAGCGAGAAGAGAGCGTCGAGGATGAGTCTACGGAAAGTCTTGAGGATGAAACAGAAAATACGACAAACGTGTATCCAGTTCGCGAGAACGACGAGGATTACGATTTCACGACCACCATGAGATCGCCGAGTTCTTCAAAGTCAGAGAAAATCAAGGATCTACGAGAGTTCTTGGAATCTGATCCACCAGGATACGTAGAAGCATTCCCCGAGGAAGCGACAACGTTATCGAGCAAATATCGCGTGAATCATGAGGGAGATGACGAAGATGACGAAGAGAAGCAGAGCGAAGAGACAGAGTATCCGAAAAATGTGGCGAATTCATGGGACGATGATTCCGAGAAAATTGAAGAACAAGTTGAAACGCCGATGGAGACGAAATCGTCTGCTCGAGACGACGATTCCGAGGAAATTTCTTCGAAGGAAGAGGAAGCTTCCGAAAAGAATGAGCGACCATCGTCGGCTGAACAAGAAAAGAATGACGAACATTTGGAAAAGAAAACGTTCTATCGTCCATTCCCATTTTCGAGATATAAGGCAAGGATTAAAAAGGAAAGCGAAGAGGATGATTCCGAAGAGGAAAGCGAGGAGAAGAAGGAAGATTACGTGTTTCCTTGGCACGCCGATAAAAAAAGTAAGGAGAACAGACGCAAGTGGCTACAGAGCTTTGACAGATACGAATATCCTTGGGAGAAGAGAAAAAGATTGACAAATAAACGGCGAAGGAAACAAGACGATAGACTTAAAAAGGGGTTTTCCGAGGATGACGAAGACGAAGAAGAGTCTACGAGACACGAAAGACCTGTTTATCCCTGGGAGAGATACGATGTTCCTTCCAAGACTCGCGTGAAAACTCGTAGACGCGATATTTCACGCAGCTATATCGACGACAGCGAAGAATCTGCCACCAAAAATATTCCACTCGCAAAGTTTAGCAGCAGATATAGTTCCAGTGACAGAGAAAAACCATCAAAGTCTCACGCGGGAGAGATCAGTCAGTCCATCCAAAAATTTTTGGATAAAGACGTAGACGACGAATTCAAAGATAAAACTTCGAAAAAAATCGAAGATCGTTCTCCTGCATTTAAAGAAAAATCATTAGCTTCTTCAGACAGAGAAATTTCCACAGAAACGTTCATAGAAGAAGGCATCACAGAACCACCAAGAAGAAAAAATAGACGAAGGAAAATCTCTCAAATTGACAAGAATGTATCGAATGACTCGCGACTTGATTCGAAAACATTGAAAAGCGAGGGAATCATTAATGAAGAAGAGCAGGAAGAGCCAGTGGTGGAATATCGAAAGCTGAGGAGGAAAAGTAACGTAGACAATCTAGCCTCTTCCGCGACTGAACAATATAGGAAACATCGACAAAGAATCTCGAAGAACAACTCTACGATTTCCTCCGATAATGCCGAGCCTATTATTGAACCCGTGAAAAAAAGACGCAGAAAATCTCAAGCATTAAAACATCAAACGTCGGTCTCGTCTTCTCCGAGAGTCGACCTTGACACGAGTAAATCAGTATTCACACCCGTTCGAAGGAGATATTCCAAGGCAGACGAGACTACGAAGACAAATACGTCGGATTCTTCCGAAAATAGTACTGCAATTAATACTGACAATCTTGAAGCTGAAACTTTGGCACCGAAAACGCGAACTGTCGAGCAACTATCGAGAGTCGCAAAAGAAAAAATCGTCACGAAGACCACTTATCCGAAAGAAGCGGAGAACTTTTATTCCGCTAACGCGACGTTCGCTCGAAAAGAACCGGGGGAAAAGTTGAGAGCCAAATCGAGACGCAGAAAAAATATTAATAAAGAAAAGGATGATAGAAATTCAAGTAATAATGAAAAGTTGATAGAACGAAAGGCTGAGAAAAATGATCACGATATTAATATCGATATTAAACTCGTCAATGCAGATGAGAGCAAAAGATTGACGGAATCAGAAAAACCTCGGGCCAAAAATAAAGATTCTTTTCAAAGTTTTGGAATAAGAAGAAATGAAGATAAAAATATAAATGATTTTAATACTTACGACGTGATTAATAATAACAAGAACGATAACGACACTGATGGCTCTCAAATATCAGAAGTAAGTTTGTCATCGCAAAACAATTAAAATGATTCCAAATTCCAATTAATATCTTTTACGTATTTCAAAGAATTACAATTATTAAGACATGAGAAAATTTTTTCTCTTTTTAAACAAGATATTTTTGTAATAATAATTCCAATGTTTTTAATATCAAAACGATGCAACATTAACATTAAAAAAATTCTCAAGTCATTTATTCCGGCTTCTGTAAAAATGTGAATATTGATACATAATGTAAGATTTATTCATTAAGCAAAATTTAAAAATTATACCACGAAGCAATGCTTTCATAAATTATGTATAAAAAATGTATAATTTTATATATATACATATTTATTTATATTATATATAATAATATAAATGAATATGTATATGTATATAATTATACATTTATCATAACATGACTCATTTGTGACTAACATAAATGTATGGTTTTAGGCCTACGCAATAAGCAGTTTGCTGCAAAATATTCCACCTAATCGAATAAAAAAACAACACAGGAGTAAGGGAACGGAAAGAAAAGAAAAAGATACGGAAGGAAGACGGAAGTCGTTATTACATACCAAGTTTATAAAAGATCCAGAGCGTAGACTATATTATTACGTAGAACGTAAATAACTACACGGCTAAGAAATTTACCATTCAATTATAAAAAGACATTTTCAATTTTTCTATTATAAAACAATAAATAGAGGTATGTGAAAAATTTTAAGATGTCTTAGATAATTATATAAAATTTATTCAGCTCTTAAATTTATAATTAATTTCAGCATTTACTTATTTTAACGTTCAACAATATACAAGCAAACTCGATCATATTATTTAAAAAATTGAAAATTATTTAAAATGTATTTATCTCAAAGATTTTATTATTTATATAAAAAAATAAAAACCATTATTATTTGAAATTTTTACAAAAAGAAAAACTAGAGAAAATGTCAAACACTTGCACTTTATTTCAGTACGTACATTTTTAATTTTTATAATAGTCATATATAGGATATAATATAATTATCATAGAATATATTTAAAAAACGGTAATTTTTTGGTATAAATTCTATATTTTTAAGCTAATTCATCTCTGCTCTCTAGAGAAAGCGCATTTTAGACATGGATGATTAAATCTGGTCCAGCCAAAGGTGTTGTAATATTTTCTTTTGATCAGTAATTATGTTGTATTTAGTGCAAAATACTTTAATTATAAACAAATCTTACGGAAAGGTTGCATAATAAAACGCCGTATTTGTTGCTTTGTTGCTCAAGCGAAGAACTCATGCGAAACATCGAAGAAATTATATTTTTTGTCATTTTCGGACAACAAAGATATCTCGTTAGAATTGTAAAGTTTTCTGCTTGCTCAGAGATTCATAATACGCCAATAATTGCCATTTTTTAGCTTGATTGGTGATACAATTCGTCTACTTTCGAAATTAAACCTTGGATTTATCTCTGTATTGAAATCTTTCCCACGGAATTAATTGTTCGATTATGCAAAAGCGTGAATATCGCAATATTGTTACAGTATTTTTTTTGTTGAGCTTTAATTAATTATAATACGTAATATATTTTATATGTATAAAAAAATAGAAAAGAAAGAAAATTATTTTATGGAGTCTTTTCTTTTAATAGTTTGTAATAATTATTTTATCTTTATATATAAAATGTATAATTTAAAAATATTTGCAACAATTTATTTTCTAATTAAATATAATCAATATCTCAATGAATTTTTTATAATAAGTTTTATCTCAAATCTCTTTTATTAAAAACTAATTTATTCAAAATACTTTCTCTCATTACAAAACTCTTTTAATCGAATTGTATCAATTATTTTTAATTAGAATGATTATTTACTAATTATATCTAAGCACGGTTTTCATTAAAGTAATCTCTTTTAACGCTCTCTCTCTCTTCTGTAACCGCAATATTTTGTTAGCAGATATTATCATAACAATCATTGTGATTCGTGAGATTATTGACCTTGTTACATAATCGAGGCCCGTTTTCGAGGAGTGGATAGCCTTGATCTAATTTTCGTTGAACAAGTGCGATAATCTCTTTGCGCTGCTTAATAAACGACTTGCTAATAATTGGTCTATCCGCTTGCATCGATCGATTAACGAGAGAAACGCAGAGTAATTATGCGTAATGCAACAGTCTCAGTGCATGTGAACAGCCATTGCACTCTGCGATTTACCTTATTATGTGATCATGCATATACAGAAAGTGTTTAACAAAATAACGGATATTACTTTTTGCTTTGCATTTTTTGCAATTACTGTATCGTCTTCGCAAAAAATTAAAAATCAAGTTTTTTGTTTATATATATACCGATTGTGATTAATTTATATATCTATATATATCTATCTATCTATATATATATACAATATATTATCATTATATATCATCATATATTTAATTAATATGCATTCTTTCTAGCTTTTAGTAAATTTAGAAAAAGAATGGAGCGCTCTTAATATATTATATATATATATATATATATATATATATAAAGATTATTTTCAAAAAAATATGAAATGAAAAATTTTGTCCATCAAGATAGAAAAACTATATATTTTGTTCATATAAATTGTTCTGTTATTAATATTACATTTTATATGCAATATTCTCTCTTTTAAGACATCCTGTAGATGGGCTCTGAAAACTACATCGACCATGTAAAATTACTTGAGACGCGTAATTGATCCATTTTACCTTGATCACGTGTACAAATGATTAATATGGCGCACAAAGAGAAAGAGAACTTCGTCTCACGTTACAATAATGGAATATCGTACCGGAAAGGAAAGGTGCGCGATCATTGATGACCACAGCTCGAAAAGAGATATCAGCCGTTCGAGAAGGCATGACGAATATATATCCATTATGAGTAATCTGTCGTTGTCAAATAAATTATATGCATGCGGATGTAGTTCAAGATTTCTAGCTCGAGCTTCTTTATTTCGCTTCTTTTTTCATGGTTGAGTTGCAATAATGTTATTAATTCGATAAGTAGTCAATCAGATACTAAGCAAAGAGGAACGAGAATCTCCTAAGTATTTCGACTCATTTATTTATATGAATGCAAATTTACGACGAAGTAAAAAATGTTCCTTGACATTTTAAATGACTCCACGCAATCTGCATAAAGACACGTATTTAAATAACACCTACTCAATTATTTTATGTCAGACGCATTTCTCAAGATGCACCTCTTAGAGATCATAGGAAATTATAATTGTCAAATTAACTCAAATTAAACTGTCACAAGCGATGCATTTTTTCTATCTGTCAAAAATACTTTCCAAGAATTTCTCTTAAATGTGTTTATTTTATAAACGTACATTTATAGGTCAACGATAATCGTATTACATTAGGTAACCGCGAGATAACAAGTGTCCTCGCGTAAAGAAAACAAAAGTGAATAATTACACACGTGAGATTAATTTCACGCTAGTGTTATTTAAACAATAGATGGTACGCATATATTTGTTACATATAAAACTTTTCTTGATATAAACATCATTAAGCATATTTTTTAGATTTTATTCTGTCTATAATTTTCGAAATGATATCCCTTGGCATCATTAATCTTTCGTTAATTAATAACAACTAAATTGACAGCAATTATCACGAATAAAATGTGCGAGCGTTATTGCTAGTAATTTGCGTTCTTATTCATTAGCATCTTAATTTAAAAAGACATTATTTATCTCGTCGAGGAAATCGGTCCTTGGTGCACAGGATAAGTATCACCGATGTGAGAGGTTGACTCTCAAGGTTAAGGTGTCCCAAGATGATATAATATCCTCTGATAAAATCCTAGACGGAATAAAACGCGCGTACAATCGAAAGGGAACGCACCGAGTCTGTTCTCGACCAACGTTTAATACGCGTGTCACGCTAGATCACGTAACATATATATACTGATCTTTGCCTTTGTATCTTTTGTGTCTAGTACGTGTCGTGCTCTGCTAAAAATAACGATATGCTTCCTGCCAAGGTACGTGAAAAACGCTTTGCAATCAAAAATAAAATTTAATAATTTCGAAAGAGTAGTTCTAAAGAATCGAAAGGATATTTTATAATTGCATTTGATGATAATATCTCAGATTTAATGAGAGAAAAAAAAAGATGTCTGGATTGGAATTCTTTTTGTTATATAAAATAAACAATTATTATTTAATAGAATGCCGATTATGTTGAAATTGATATAAATAAAGTACTTATAAAAAATTAATATGTAAGACACGACGCATTTTATATTACAATGATTTTCTTCGATTGCTAATATAATTGGATTCGAGGTCAAATACCTACGCTTACATTAATCGATATTAAAACATAACTCGATAACGATTGTACAATCGTGATACATCGCAGTGCTTTCACTGCAAAAGTTGCATTATTGCGTGATTACAAAGAGCGAATCATATATTGAATTCTCATTAAATAATTTGCTATGTAACAAAGTGAACAGATTATTAATTTCCTTTATGTTTACTTTATGTGCTAGTATAATACTTTTAATGTATGTAATTTAATTACACATTTAATTTTATCTATTATTATAGAGTTATCTTATTATAAAGTGTTACGTAAAAATTAAAAATATTAATAAAGGTTTATATTATTTTCCTGTTACAAATACATAAAGATGTCGATTACGGCTAAAGTCACCGAATTGTATGTATTTCTTATACGTAGATTACCTTGTTATTTGGACTCGCAGCACTGTTAAAATCATCGACAGCAGCACCGGATAGCGCAGGGATGGTAGAAATGGTGAACGGATTGGCTTACGGTAAGTCAGGCTTCTGTACTTCTGAATTTTATAACAAATTCAAGAAAAGTACACGAATATATATATATATATATATATATATATATATGTTTAATCAATTTTTAATTTATTTAAGTATAAGTTAATATTTGTATCAATAATTTTAAATACAGATAATTTTATATGCCTACATATTATTTCACTTATTACAAATATTTTAAAATTGATATCATTTTTAAAATATGAGAACACATTGTTAGAGATATTTTTACAATATATATTTTAATTAGATATTTAGATTAAATATATTTCTCAAGTTTTGTATGAAATTAAATATTTTATATGTTTATAATATTCAGTTTAATTTAAATCAGACTCCAACAGAAAGCAGCACCATGACAGCATTCGTGACTAAACCTTGTTTTACCTTTCACTCCACAAAAACAAGAGTATATTGAATATATGCAGTGATTTCGATGCACGTGTCAAAAGCAATTCAAATAATTTTAATAAATTTACTTATTTATTTATTAAAAGTACTTTAGACTATAACAAGAACTGTTTTATAGAATAACAAAATAATTGACCCTATTTTGCGCATTGTTTTTCACATTGAAGAAAAATAAGAAATTTATATGCAATTATTTATCTGGTGCATCAAAATTAGTTCAGCTAGCTAAATTATTTTCCAGACAGAAATTAAAGAAATTACTTTACGTGTTTTTGAGATAAACATTATAATATCTTTGCATAAAATCTTTTTTTCGCAAAATAAACTATTTAAAAAATGTATAATTTTACAACATATTAATTTACTTTATATTAACATTTATTTTACACTTACGATAAATTTTATAAATGTCAAATTAATTAATTTATATAATATTATACTATTACACATCAATCTCCAAAATTAAAATTTGTGAAAATAAAATTGACATTTATTGATAACAAATTTATTAATTAGCTTTTTTAAAATCTTAAATACAGACAAGATTAATTCTTGATGACATCACAATTAATCAAAATGAGTAATTATATAATAAAATAAAATATCTAAAAAATAATTAGTATTATAAAGCGAATACAAAAGAAGGAAGGAACAAGATATGAAAGAAAATTACTTGTGCATATGAAAGAATCATTGTGCATTTTTATTATTATTAACTGCAAGAGTAAGGAGTCATTTAATATAATGAGTATATCGATTGCATCATTTAACAGGTGGGATTCCGTATGGAAGTGTAAGCGGTATGCTCGCGAAATATCCGGGATACAGGCAGATTAACGCTGAGGTTCAAGCCAGACAATTGGGCATTTTGAGTAACACTCAGCGGCCGATCATTATCACGCCGAATTTCCGAGCCACACGGTTGGTAGGAATTTCACCTCGCCCTGTACAAATCTACAATCTTCCAGCAGTCATCGCTCCCGGAATCGTGGGCACAATTAGTCAAATTGGCTATTAATCCACCGGAAGAACCTTGTCATAGTAAAACATACAGTATAGTCAGCCATAAATCAGTCGATCGAATTTCCTTTTTGCCCGAATTTTTCTTATTGAAGAATGCATATTATTTATATTTTATAATACGTATATATAATAGCAATTATATAGTATACAATAAAAATTTCTTCCTATTGATCCGATGATATCTACAACGAATCACTTTTTATATATTAATACTACTATTTATATATTATTAATTAAATAGTTGAGCTATATTATCCGTAATTATGAATAATAATGAAATTATTATTTTAAAATATTTTCTTTAGTTTAAGATTTTTTAGTTGAAGATTGAAATTTGTTGCAACACATTTTATAAATATGCACATTATTATTATACATATTAATACATATACAGCTTTCCATTTTCACATTGCCATATTATAGATAATATTAACAATAAAAGAATCGTACGTGTGAAAATATACATTTACCATCGAAAAACGTATTATAATCATTAATTTAATTCTAGTTTAATTATTCTAAATGTATTTTAAATACAAAAGCGATCAATAAATTATTATTCTGTAAACGTCAAACTGCGAATACACAATGTATATATATAAAATCAATAAACTTTAGAAATATTAGTTTAAATAATCGAGAAATGAGAGAAGAAAAAATTTTGCAATTCACCCTTGATGTTCGCATTGAGGGTGAAGACACCCTGATGCTCATATTGAGGAAAAAGACATTTAAGGAGAGAAAGTATAAATGACATCGGGCACGACGTTTGTCCCTTAGTAGTCACGAGCCGCACGCACGATGCATCACGCGTCGCACGTGAGTATTTTTGCATGTAAAAATCGTACGTCGTACAGAGAACAACGAAATCGCAATCCCATAACGATTCGGTAGCGCGATAAATCATAAATAGCGGAGATCTTCCGAACAGATATATGTGTGAAAAGTGTCAAATTATGGAATATTTACCTTATAAAGAATATTTACATTATTCTTTTATTACATTATCGGAATACGCAAGTCATTGAACGCGCAATCATTGCACATGTCGGTCATTCGATTATAAATTGTGGAAGTTAATCTTAGCGTGATTTAATAAATGAACGGTTTGCATCGTTCTTTAAATTCATAGGACAAGTATATTATTATCTTATTATGAATATATTATTATCTAATTCTTTCGATAATTACTTGTAATCATTTTAAAATCGTTTGTAATTATTTTAAAATAATGAAATTACAAATCAAAAGCGTTAAACATTTTTTATTAAACTATTATGTATTGTAAATTTTTTTAGTTCTGATTTATCCAATATTCAATCACTTATTATCTAGTAAATTTATTGATTGCCGATATTAGATAATAATATGAAATTTAATTTTTGAATTGTATCTTTTACAGAGAGATTATATTGTTAAAAGTAATTTATTTGAATAAAAGTAAAAAATAATTTATTTACATATAAGTATATTTAATGCTAAAGATAATTTATTTGCATGTAAGTATGAAGATTTATTTAGGTCGTGTAAAAGAGCGCTGGTATGCAAATTACTTGTTTAAAATGCGAAAAGACTGTAATTTCATAATTCATATTAAGCCCAGTAGGTTGTGCATGTTTCACAATCTGATTAATCTCGTCTTGATTAAGTTCAAGAAACTTATATAACTTAAATCACCGAACTTAGAAATAAACTACACAAAAGATCTTAACAATGTGTCAAATGCATCATCACACTATATAATTTTATACGAAAAATATAAATAGTAGAGACGTCAATTTAATTTCAGATTACGAGAACGGTAATTTATATAATTAACGCTACATAAAGAAATTGAAATAAGCGTGTGCAGATTTGTGGAAATCGATTTCGTGAATAAAGACGCAATAAATGGGGATTTAATTCTCTTTTATGATGCATAGACAGACAATTATTTTTGCATTGCCAACTTATCAATTAAATTTTTTAAATTTCTAACATTTTATTTTTGCATTTATTTTATATGCATGCAATTATTTTATCGCAAAAAACACTAATTAAAATTTTTCTAACTTAATAATAAGTTTCTCTCTTTTTCTCTTTTCTTTTTCAATAAATTATATTTAAAACATTTTTTATAAATCTGTCGAAAGTTTTTTTTCAAATCAAATTCTACAGGATATATAAAGGAAGAGTGATGTAAAAAAAATATCTAACTTGTACGTTAGAAAGTATAAATGAATACCTCATAATGTAAATTTTTAATGTTATAGTACATATGTCGGAAGTCATGTCATTCACTTTTACATAGATATCCATTAAAAAGCATCTTCAAATTATTCCTTGATAACTATGTATTTTATAACGTACAGGATAATATATAAGCGGTGAATATTCATACATAATATAAATACATAACTTCTCTTAGAGTCTTACATAAATCAGAAGAAAATCGTCAATTACAAGTTTCGTTGCTGAATTTCTTTTCTTTGAAGGAATTTTACTGACAAGAAATTAAAAAAAAATGTTAGAATTAAGATTCATAAAGTACTTTCTCGAAATTTCAACTGCGAGAGAAACTTCTCTTTATTATGTCGCAAACCCTCCCGCAGCGAGAAACTAACTTCATCGGAAGTCCCGTATGTTTGTGAATAACGTTTCAGCAATACGTATACCTCGCAAAAATACGGCACATATATATCGGTTCGATTCTATTATTATAAGAATCGAGTTCCACACGATGTGTCACGGTAATAAGCGTGTCTAGGACTGATATTTTGCGCGATTGTGTGTATGACGCGCGTCGACTTTTCTCTGAGACACAAGATTTTACACAACCGCACCCGCTGTTGGAACGATCGTCGGATTTATACACATATACGCCTCTTGCCTTACGCAATAACGAATAAAACATATAATGTTGTAGAAAATCGCACCGGTCACGCTACTCGTATATACCGTTATGCAGCTTGTAGCTTCTTTCGCGAAGTCTTTCATAGCAGACATTACTGTGTACAATAATGTCTAATAATAAAATTACAATATAATTAATAAATTACATATAATAAAAGTAACTGCTTAAATATAGCATGCCAAAGAAAATTATCTATTATTTTGATATTTTATGTTAATAATATTGTACATACTGAAAAATAATGTTTATAATTTTAATTTGTAATAACATTAATTTTACATTTAAGATATGTAATCGACATTTTTATTTTTATTTAAGATCATTTACAATATTTATTTATTATATTATATTTTGCAAGAAGACATATGTTATATCAATTTAATTATGCGATTGTAGGATTGTAATTATTTAGAAAATTATTATTGAAAAGGAAGTAAAATATATCTGAGAATGCAATATAAATAGGATAAAACTTTAATTAAATTATTTATTAATTTGTTAATGTAACAATTATACAATTGCATTAAATACTATATCTTCCGTTACAGATATTGATGCATTGCATCGCATTTTGGTGCTTGATAAACGGCGGTCGAACAGCAAGACATGCAGTCAGTAAGCATAATGCTTTCTTTTTTTAAAATAAAAAATTGATGTTTTGAAAAACATTATTATAAACATATAGGTATAAAAATTCGAGAAAACGCGAATGCGATAATCACCGACCATTAAACAAACAATGTGTTACCTGTTACATTCTTTTGTAAAAATTCAGAAAGGCGGAATGTCATTATTATATTCCAACACATTTTCTTCAGTTCTGTCACATAATTTGTATTTATTCTCTTTTCAACGCAGGTCCAGATATACTTGCAAATTTCGCTAAAAATATAGCTTCAGTGTTGTCGCCGGCGATATTGGGCGATATACAATTCCGCACGAATAGATCAATTTTGAAATCCAGTCTGAACGTACCCACTAACTTAAACGATGAAGACCTAGACTCACCTTCAATCCTGGACAACATAGTTGACAACACGTCAAACGCACCTACGTATTACGGAGCCCAGTCTTACAACAATCTTTACGAAAACTCTCCTGAAGAATTCCAAGGAAATCCCGAAGTGAACGAACCACTCGAAGGATCTCTACGAGATGAGCCGTACCTGCGTCAACAGCAACCGAACTTTTATAGACCTTACGATTTCTCAGCGAACAGCGATAATCTCGAAGTGACTGAAAAGCCTGATATCGAGCCATCGCTCGGCAACATCGAGGGGTCAGCCACCAATCTGTATTCATCTTATCACGACACCGGTTTTGATAAAGCAGCTTTCGCTCAGGGGCCCTTCGGGCCTAAATCCCTCGCAGGCTTTCATGGATTCGGGCACTACGGAGATTTTCACGGACACCATCATCATCATCATCATCATCATCCATATGGAGATGAACCAGCAGACTCGGGAGAGAACAACGGAACCGATCATCAAGGTTACGGTCGACCCTACGGCTTCGGCCCTCACGGCCATCATCCCTATTCTTCGTTTCCTTACGGAAATCACGGTCCTTTTTACGGGCCCTATGGTCGAAATAATTCTTCGGAAAACGGGCGGAACAGACCTTACGGGCCTTACTACGATGGTCCCGACTTCTACGGACCTCCTGGTTACGGTCACCACCATGGCCATGGCAATGGTAATAATAATAATAATAATAATAATAATAGTAACAGACAAACCGAAGAACCAGCCGAGAATGGCGATGAAAATAATTCGACAAGAAACGGCCACCCGCATCATTATGGGCCTCCTTTGTTCAAGCCGCTCCTGGGAGCCTTTCATCTTCACGGCCTACCATCCCCCTTCAACTTGCTGCCCTACGACCATTTCCACGGGGTCTTCAAGGGCGGCCCTGTGGTCGGGGTTGGCCACATTGGTTATCCTACATATGTCGGTCCTTATCCGATTGGCTTTCCATTTCATCATTCTTATGGGCCTTTCTTTTACGGTAAGAAGTATTTGCCGCCGAAGGGCAAGCCCTCCGACTCTGGCGAATCCGGCGAGTCTACGGAAGCACCAGCAGCAGCCGGAGAGCTTGCGGAAAATGCGACTCCCGAACGGATCACCGCAGGCAATCAAGAAGTGATAGCGCCGGCTTCTAGCTCGAATCGAAGATACAAGATATCGGGACAGAACGGCCGGAAACAGATCAGTATGGCTAATTCGGCGAGCCGAAAGGCCTGATCTTTGGAAAACGATGAACTTGATGAAAGGAAGCAAAGTCAAATTGTCGGAATAATTGTAATGGAATGTAAAGAAATTATAATATAAATAAATAATATTAAATAATGTGAGAAATTTAAAACTTGTTCTATTTTTTCTTGAGCTAACTTTTTTTCGTGAAATATACCGTTTATAAAACAAATAAAATGATAAATTAAAGAAGAGATATCAAACTAGATCATTTTAATTGTAAGCAAAAACTTCTCTTCTCTTTAAATAATAATGTAAAAGAGAGAGAGAGAGAGATGTTATAAATGAATATTATAATTATAATATGAGTAGTTTATTATATATTTATATATGTAGTACATTTTATTCTTCTGTCTGTCAGGTAAGTAACATGATTTAAATACTTATATTATGTTCATTATGTTGTGATAACTTTCTCTCGTTAAAAAAAATAAATTATAAAATTGACTTTTATTTGCTGTCAATACGACACAACGTTATAAAAATAATTTGGCTGTAGGAGAGAGAAGCTGATAATTAACAGGCGCACTAATTACAGATGCTGCGCGACACGCACATTTATATTTATCATTGGTTTCTATTACGATGTTCTCTCACGATTATGATATAGAAAATGTTCTCATGATTATTGCTGGCCTTTATCTATGCAATTACTTCTTTGTCTTGACAATAATGCATGGGGTGCATGGTCCAGTAATTTTCGTGGCCTCCATAACAAGTGTGCAAATGCGTCGAGTTTACTGCGTATCGTCAATGACGATTTGAAACACGATTATATAAGGCACGCAAAGTTAGAAACATTTAATTTGCATTCATCCTTTTGTATGAAAAAAAAAACTGTTAACAAATTCTAAACATTACAAAATATTTAATTCATATAGAAATGACAGAAAGTTCCCATCAAAATCATATATTTTTAAGTCATCGATAGAAACGTGTAATAATTAGATTTGATTTGTTTTAACAAATTTTGTACTTTATATTTTAATATATTATTTTTATGATTACACAATAATTATATTAATATTTAAATGTTAATTATTAGATTTAAAAATTTTGAAAATGTTTTTCAAGATCTCCATAAGAAGATCGAACGATTACAATATAAATTATTATGACAGATAATTCAAGGTAAATGCATAACAATTTACGTAACATGTAAAAAATTCTTCGTTTAAAATATCGATCGCAGAGTTGATCTCGTTTACTGAAAGCGGAAATAAGTTGATTCGTGGAAAATATATGGATAATCGACTATGAAGGTAATAATAACAAAAAAATATACAGATAAAAATGAAGGCAATCGTAAAATATTCATATCCATAATGTTTCATTCAAATTGAGATGCAATCGTACTCGTATTAATTGTATTCTTGCAAATTTTACATAGCAGAGATTAAATTTAAAGAAAACAGAAATATTATACGTTAATAAATCGATCAGAAAAACAATTTTAAAAATTATTTAAAACTTTCAATAATATTTAGCAAACTTTTTCTTATTAAAACATTAATTAAATTGAAAATATATGTTAAAAATATACATTAAAAATATAATTGTTATATTTATTTTTTTTGAATTAATTAATTCTATGTTCGATTAGCATATTCGGCTTGTATATCTTGTCTGTATGTTTATACCGTACATTAATACATTATTGTATAATGCGGTGTTTCACTTTTTTAAATATATCTTATCTTTAAAGAATTATTATAAATAACAGCATTTTTATTTCGACATCCATATTTAATTAATGAACCAACGCAAAGATTCCGTATCTCAATTTCTCTCATTTTTTTACTCATTATATTTTTTTGCACATTACAGAAGTTAAGAATGTCATTACGAAATTGACAGGCACGCATATGTCAAGCGTGCGGGCGCAATCTGCATCAACATGGTTTCATCAAATATACATTTTGTAATCCAGAATCCCGGTTTACACAATTACAGTCCCTCAGTATCTGTCACCTCTTTCTGTTTCGGTTACGATACTCGAAAATAAGAGTGTTTTTTTCGCCGGACTTCAGTTTACTGTTGGTACTCATCCTGGGCGGACCCGCAGGCATTATTGTCGGCGATAAGCAATTAACGATTACATAGCAGCGGAATCAAGTATCGTAATCGACAATTGCGATGTATGATTCCCTCCTGTCGTTAATGAGGGGGTTTACGAGCGTCGCGGACACATGCGAGCAACCGCGTCGGGGAAGAAATTTGGATGTCAAGGCGTCTTATCGGGCGGAGACTCACGTGACTTCGTCACACGTGCGTTACAGCACACATTGTTGTTTCATAATACAAAGTCGCAACTCGTATAATCTCAGGGTAACAATGAATGTTTTCTATTAGCACAACAGGCGGAGGCCAATGCGAGGCCCGGAAAAAATGTACCACTCGTGGGGGGTCCACTGTCTTGCGAAGGGACTCCGCCTTTGTTATAAAAGAACCTGTGTCGCAGAAACGATGGACAGTGGTGTTTGGCGACGACAGATGAGAAAAAATAGGAGCAATCGTTAACAAGACGTCAGCTGGACTGTACTTGCAAATACGAGAAAGAATGGCGTCTTTGAAGATTGTAAGTGCAAGAGAATTTCATTCGAGATATTGATCTAGAAGTTAAGTATTACGGTTTCATTCGACTCATTGTGGTACAAATCTCTCTTTTGCTGATCAGTCTTTTACA